AAAGCCTAAAATTTCTGCCATACACATCAACAACTATATCAAAATGAAGCCATACAAAGTTACAAACCATTGAAAAATTCAAATCTTCAAACTAAAACAAGACTTAAAACTCATAAAGAGTTAAAATATAGTGAGTGACAGTAAAAAACTAAAAAGGTGGTTTGCTATCAATAACACCCAATATTCCAAGTCCACAAAACAACAAGATTCCAAGTCACGATCTTGCTCTTCCATACTACACTCTTTCAGCTTGCTTAATGCTCTCTCTGTGATGTTCAAAACAACCAGCAAGACAACAACTTTCATGAATATAAGAGATTAACTGAGTAAGGGTTACTGAATCAAGGAAAAAGGCATTAGCGAAATTTCAAAAAAAAAAAAGTACATAATACATTAGATCAGTTTGGATTATATCAATTTTTACCAACCAAACCGAAAATCGATCCACTTCAATTAAAATATGCGAATTTTTTTTTCCGATTTTTAATTTTTCAATTAATTCGGTTATCGATTTTTTGGTTCGATCACCGCTATTTGAATTGGTTCGGTTGATAAACATCCCTGAGTGTAACTATTGTTGATGGAGAGATCTTCTTGAACGTGCTTTCTCCAAGATGAAATATTTATATGTGGACTTTTGAATCTTAGCTTAATATATTGTTCCCAATGTTACGAAACTCGAACCGGTGATCGAACCGGTCGAGGTACCGGGTCAGTGGATCATTGGTTTAATTGCTTAAACCAAATAAATAAATATAAAATTATATTTTATATTCGATTTTTTTGCAAAAATAATATAATCTAATATCATTTATTATATTAATATTTAAAGTTAGAAAAATATATATTTATAATCTAATAAAACAATATGCGTGTCGAAGCCAGAAAACGCCACACATTGTGCACTTTATCTTTCAAATACAAACACTCCTTGTCTTGTCTCTCTGAGTCCTGTGTGTGCGTTAGCCATAGCCATGGATGCATGTTTCTTCCAGCAGTTCAAAGATAACCCAAAAAGCAATTATTCACTATGGAAGAAACCTGGCTCAATCTCACATCTCTTCTTTCCTTCTTTTCTTCTCAACCAGGCCAGAAACTCGTTTCTCATAATCTCAGGTGTTTCAAATACTTTTCCTTCATTTCTTTTTCTCCTCATTATTATAGAAACCTTGTGTAGGATTTAGTGATATTGAATATTTCAAAATGTGTTATTGTGGGGATAATTATTGAATTACGTTGACAGGTGAAAAATGATTACGGAAACTATGTATTGTCGCATGAGACTTGCAGCAGTTAAAACAAATGTGTCATGTTGAGGAATTTTATCAAACGTTAATGAAGAAACCTAAAATGTCTCTCTTATGCATGAGTGCTGCAGTTCTCAAAAATAATAAGAACGAGGAAGACAAAGCTTAAGGGTTGGTTTGCAGGGAAAAAAGAAAGTATTGCAAGTCCACATCGTTTAGTTTATAAAACAATACACTCCTTATAAACTATTTGCGTGACACCGATCAGTACAAAGCTGATTTGGGTTGCAACGTGTTGCATTTTACGATTTCTTACCCGGCCAAGCGAGTCGCGGGTTCTTATAAAAATCATCGAGTCATCTTGGCTTTTTCCGGTTCACATGCGTAACCGATGTGATACATAACTCGGACCGGTCTGGGGAATGGTTCAGCGATATCTCTGACTCAAACGGCCAGTCTGAGTCGATTTTAATAACATTAATATTATTTATATTAGTCTTGTGTAGGCTCAAATTATAATTATGGTCTAACCTATATTTAAAAACAAAAGCCCTGCCCTTGTCTTGTTTAAGCCTATTAAAATTTCATTAATTAAAATTATATTACTTTTTATTAAAATTATGACGTTATTTATTTTATTAAAAATAAATAATATGATGTAGGCTTACAAGAAAAGAAAGTTTATGGTTTGTTTTTTAAATAAGTTTTTTTTTTTTAAGTATAAACTTGTTTTATTTGACTATATTGAATAGGTCGAGCCTGACCTGATGTAGGCTGAGCCGTATGTCCCTGTTAGGCCAGACTCATTTACACCCATAATCATAAGCTATCTTATTATAAATTTATTTTATTCAAACAAGAAAATTATGTTAAAATCACTTTTTATAATAATTTTTAAACAAATTATTTTACGTCTACCATAAATTTTAGAAAACTCGAGTTCATCAATAATCAGATACACACTTAGCAACACTAATAATTAAATACTCGAAGACCAATGGCGGACCCACATTTTATTGAGAGGGAGCGAAAAATGAAAATACCTCTTTATAAGTAAAAGTACTTCAAATTCAATACAGACCTAATATGCAAAAAATTGAAAGAAATCTATTACATAAATTAAGATCACTTCAATTGACTCTTACTCTACGTGTTTTCATATTGTTAAACCCATCTATAATTGAATCCGTGCTAAAACTCAAAACTATTTCTTTTTCAATGTATGTAATCAAAGAATCATAAAAAAATTGGTTTTCCATTCTATTTCGAAGCCTGGTCTTGATTATCTTCATAGTTGAGAAAGATCTTTTAGTAGTTGCTGTAGAAATTGAAAGAGTGAGTACAAGTCTAATCACTTTATCAATAAGAAGGTAAATGATGGACTTTTCAGTTCTTACTAGCCCTTGACATAATTCATATGTAGCTGATAAATTAATCAAATCTGGATGTTTACGAACTTTGGACCAACCTTAACAATAAATAACTAGTTAAGACACATAACTCTCAAACATTTCAAAGTAATCCATGAACTTTTCAATTTGCTTCAATTACACATAGTACATTATCCTAAAATATATTTCACCTGTTCTGTTTATTCAATGCAGGCAGCATTGATGAACATTTATGGTTCCTAGCGTTTGGTACAACAGTTAGAAAAATAAATTGTTCCCTGTTTCAGACATAAGTAACACACCAATGATTAAGATATTCTAATTTTCAAGTTATTTTCTTTAACGAAATCAAGCTCTCCATCGATCTCTATAACAACTACCATACCCATCCACGAGCTCCAATCATCAATTAAATAAACTTAAAAGAATCAAACAATTGTCTGCCAGTTACTGAGTATAGTGATATGATTTAGGAGCTAGGGTGAATCGTCACCTCCAAATTTAAAGAAATCAACAACTCATCCTAGCTCCTAAATCCGTCTATGTCGAATACTCCATGTAGTTAAGAAAAGTTACGAGTTGAGCAAGGGCTGTCCAGGAAATAAGTTTGTCCGACCGAACCTGACTTCATATTTTTGATTGGCCATTCTTTTGAATTGACTTTACCAAGTCCTATTCTTTCTTACTTGTTTTGTTATATTTTATTAATTTAAAAAAATCAAAAACATAGTATTTGATTATTTCAAAAGCTTTGGCAGAAGAATATCTTTTTGAACTCAATTACATAATTTTTTCCTATAATTTGATACCGAAGCAATTTTTTTATAGAATTCAAATATAATTATTTTATTTTAAATTACTTATAAAATCACATATTAAATATTAATTAATGCTTTCATAATTTATTTTTAAGATAACATTTTTTTACAATCAATCTAAATAAACATTTAACAATATTAAATAGCGAATTTTTTTTACAATTTATTTTCATAATATATTCAATCAAATTTTTTTTAAGTATTCTTAGACCTTATAAGTGAGAGATTAACTGAATTTTAAAGACAAGAAACCTCTTCAACAATATTTTTTTATGTACATGTGAATTTCCTAATTGAACCGAGGACTAAATATTAAAAAATTAGATTTCCTTTTACTTAAATTACACATATATTTTTATTTTTACTTTTAACTTTAAAAACTAAAAATAAATAAATTTGGTAAACAAATAAACATGCTTTTTTTTTGGGTAAACAGTAAACATGCTTTTACTACAACTTTAGATGTGTATATTTTAAATTTTGTTTATTATTTTCATGACTCTAAATATCGATACCTATACGCGTACTAAGAGATTCATCAATCGACTCAAACTGCACTGATCGAATTGAAAAACAAAAAACAAATCGTAAATTTTAATTGAATTGAATTAATTTTCGATTTGGTTGGTAAAAATCAATCCAATCTAAATCGATATAATATATTAATCCTCTCTATCTACTTAGGTTTATTCACCAATCATAGTCCAAAAAATTATAAATTCAAGAAAATTTACTGGTACATTCTAGCAAGTTTCCATTACTATCGTCGTTGTGATTTCAATCTTTGGATAGGATACTATAAAAGTATGAATTTTTTGCTACATAAATATAGCATTTGAACTGAGTCAAGGATTTGTTTTTATTTAGTTTTATAATTTTCACGTTAAGGTGATACTATTATAAAATTTATTTGCCAAAATCTGAAATAAGCACTTGTTTTAAGGTGATAGATACTTGAAATTGAGTTTATCTGGTTTAGATTATCATTTATTGAAACTTCTATATTGCATAATAATCATTATACAAAAATTACAAAATCAATACATACAAAAGATGTTATTTGAACAATAATCATCATATAAATTTTAGACTTTTCAAAAAAGAAAATTAATCCAATCCAAACCGAATAAAATTGGATTGAATAAGATTTGAAAAAAAAATTCAAATCGAATAAATAATTATACGATCAAATCAAAAAAATTACATGAGATAATATTTACTTTCGAAATCCATCTAATCCAAATCGTAAATACTCCGCTCGCGTACCACCCACGTCCCCCTAGCTTTACTTTTTTTCACAACACGTTAAAAAAAAATAAAAGAAGCGGTCAAGGAAAAATAATTTCGGATGCTGCACCGAAACTACCCATTGCAGAGTAGGGGTGACTACTGGCTTGTGTTGCACGCCGCACCTTGTTAAGTCAAGTCAAGTCAACTTCCTCAAGCAAAGGGGCAAATACGTCAAATCACGCAAGAGTTCCCTTCCTTCCTCAACCACTTTATATGGTATTGCAATTTATACCATCATCGTCCACAACAAACAACAACAACCAACCATATACATAAAGGCTGAAACTGAAACTCTTTATTCGCCTTCGAAGTTCTAACTCCACTCCTCTTCTTCTTCTTCTTCCTCTTCCGTAACCGTAAGTATTGTACTGTTTCTTGTATATAAGAAGGTTCTAGAATCAATCAGATGGGCGGAGGTGGAGCGACGGTTAACGTGGAGGCTCAGTACTCATCGGCGAAGACGTCGGTGTGGTGGGACATCGAGAACTGCCATGTTCCGAGAGGTTGTGATCCACACGCCATCGCCCAGAACATTAGCTCTGCCCTCGTTCGCATGAATTACTGTGGTCCAGTTTCCATCTCCGCCTACGGCGACACCACTCGCATCACTGCCTCCGTTCAACACGCCCTCTCCAGCACCGGCATCTCCCTCAACCACGTCCCTGCCGGTATTCTATTCTGTTCTTCTTCCACTTAACCCTTCCATTCTCATCTCTCTCAGTTAGATCCAAAGTCAATTCCTCTGTAAATATTGATTTCGAATCTCAGGCCAAGCTTATGCATCTGTCCGAGTTATTGTTAATATTATCTTTTTGAGAATCGAAATCAAATCTCAGGCCAAGCTTATTATTGTTTATTTTTTTATTTTTTATTCTGTTATTTATGCTACGCCGATTCAGTAAGAACAATCTCGCTCTTCGATGTTTCCAACAACGAAGTCTCATCGCAATACTTGCTCGCGTGATCGTACAACGCCCGCTGAGATGAGATCTGTCAAACACTCGATTTTGAGTTGAGAGAGAGAGAGAGAGAGAGAGAGAGAGAGAGAGAGAGAGAGAGAGAGAGAGAGAGAGAGAGAGAGAGAGAGAAGGGTTTGATACTTTGATACCTTACTTTAGCTTATTGCTCTACTTCTGGGATATTCTTTTTCAATTATGTGGTTTATGCCGTCGTCATTTAGTTTGTATCTTTCTCTTTTTTTAATCATGCAAATCTTGTGAAGAGGGAATTTGAACAGCCAATTAGGTTTTGATGATCACGAGGAATTGGCCAAACATTTACTAATTTGTTAGTTTCTTACGTTGAACCTTGTCAATGCGTCACTAGGCCTTCTGAGCATAATTAGCTGTGAATTTATTTACATTACCCAATTATTTTATGCTTGGGAAAATGTGATTTTGTCTAACTGATGTTTCTATGTTTATTACTAGGCGTTAAGGATGCAAGTGACAAGAAGATTCTTGTAGACATGCTGTTCTGGGCGGTGGACAATCCTGCACCTGCTAATTACTTATTAATTTCGGGTGATCGAGACTTCTCCAATGCTCTTCATCAATTGCGGATGAGGAGGTATAATATTCTTCTTGCACAACCTCAGAAAGCGTCTGCACCCTTAGTTGCAGCTGCTAAGAGCGTGTGGCTTTGGACTAGCCTATTAGCTGGAGGACCTCCTCTTACCAGCGGTGAATCACAACAACTTGGTAATAATAGCCCACAATCATCTTCTGACACCTTGTCCATTCCACTGTCTAATGCTGTTCAGACAACACAACACTTGGATTCCTACTCGGAACTCCATTCAGGAATTCAGAAATTTCCTAATACAAGAAGGCCATTCGATTCTAAACATCATGGGAAAATGACTTGGAGAAGTCCAAGTCAACCAAATGGACCTATAGCCATGAATCCGGCTCCAATTGGACTTCAAGAAAATTTTAGCAATATAAACTCTTCTCGACCTGGCAACTATAACTCTAATGTACCCCCAAATGGATCTACTCCAAATTTTATTCGTCATGTCAATCCTGATCAATTGTGGAGCAATAATGGTAATCTACAGGGCAATCATCAAAATCCATATTCACAGCCATTAAGATCAAACAGTCTTCCTATGCGACCTCCTTTTGTACCAAGTAATTCATATTCTTCAAATTCCCAAACTAATGCAACTTCACTAGTGCCACCTAGGACTGTTGGGCCCAGCTTCTCTGCAGGACCACTTACTAATGTGCCAGATATTGGTAATATAAACATTTCTGGATATCCCAACGGAGCTCATGATCCACGTCCGGTTAAGCAATGGAATGGAGAGTTGAAACAGAGTTCTAATAGTATTACTCCAAATCCTGTAAGGTCAATTGATGAACAAAATGGACATATGGTACACAGCACACAACCATTATACAATGGCTATCCACATGGTCCAGAAGATCGGACTACATCATTGGCAGCAATGGGTAATAATAACCTTCCTGGTAATGGTATGTGGGGATCTCCAGGATGCCCTAAACCTTCTGAATATGTCCAAGGGCTTATAGGGGTTGTTTTACTAGCCTTGAACACACTAAAAACTGAAAAACTTATGCCAACTGAGTCAAATATAGCAGATTGCATTCGATGTGGAGATCCCAAGCATCGCAACACTGATGTCAGGAAGGCTTTGGAGTGTGCTATTGAGCAGCAGATGGTGGTGAAGCAGAATTTAGGTTCTTTGCAGTTGTATGTTGGTAAGAATGATAAGCTTTGGAAGTGTGTAAATCTTTTAGGTGGTAATCCTAACAAGCACTCAAAAGAAACATGGGATGAAATTCAAAAATTTCTAACAACTCCTTCTGCAAGATCAGCAATAATGGGTACTCAGTGCAAGTAAGGATCTTCTAATTTACTTTATTTTCAATTCCTGAAAATTTCATCTGTCTCATATTGAGTCTCTATTGTCTTTCCTCTAGGTATGAAGCAGGTATTGTCATTAAGAATATGTGCCTTAAAAGTCATGCTTTGGGTGATGTCCTACATATGTTAAACATGGTGATTACCCATAAAAAATGGATTGTGCATCATCAGTCAGGCTGGCAACCACTTAACATTACTCTTGCTGAGGTCAATTCTGATTCAGAGGTCATAGCTGTCCCATAACTGCACCCACCCAAAAAACACACGCAGAGAAAACCAAAGAGTTACTGAATATATTACAAAACGGTTGGACTAGGTAATTAGGAATTATTTAAATAAACATCTTTTTCTCGTGTGAATCAAAGGTAGGTAGTAATGGTGAACTGTAGTATAAGTACTTTGAATGATGCATCTTATTGTTTGATTATTAGTAAGGTTCTTCGGTTCAGCTCGAGGGTGAAATAAAGTAGTGTTTGGACAATGGTTGAAACTTGAAACATACAAAACCCTAGAGTTTCTTCCGGTTGTTGAGGTTGCAAATTCTGGTTGCCACTATGGCGTGTTATACATCATAGTGGATCTGTCTTGGAATCAGTATGCCTTCCTCAGTTAACTTTGGCTTCTGCCCAATTTCTATCTTCCTACAAAGTTATATTTTGCTTGGAGATTGACTTATTTGACTGAACTCCTCGGATCCTTTGATTGAAGCCTCCTAAATAGCGTCCAGGATATTGGCCAAGTATGTGTTTCTGGAGGTATATATAGCTTCAGGCAAGTTCGGTGACCATCCACTGTGCTGTTTGTGTATCACTTAAGAAGTGATCTACCAAATTATATTGTTCAGGGACTATGTGGAATGCAGTCCAGAAACTGTTGTATGTCATATTGTTTGTTGGTTATATCTTCAAAATGTTACAGGAAGTTTAACTACTAGACAGAGAATACTTAAATTGCTCGAGATTGAAGAAAACTGCACTCTTAAGTTCCTCCATGAAGATCTCAAGGCATGTTTCTGGCGTATTTTCGCTATGAACAAATCACATTATGGAGTTTTTAGAAATGATCAAAGATAGTGGAACCAAATGGTAGTGAATTCTAACGTCTCTGGTTGCTGATGGTGCCTATAGAGTTGTGATGTTTTATTATATATTTGGAGTTGGCTTTTGGAATGTTATTCTTAAAGCAGAATTGGGAATTTAGGTCATTCAGTTGGGAATTGGTTTGTGGTCCAGCTGCTTTCTATTTCCTTGTAATGCTATTAACTTAATGTATAATATGAATATAATATGCACTATATAATATAGATTGTTTAATGGTGTATGCTACCAGCATTTGAAGTTTATGTGCAGCATTTCTTTTTCTTTTTTTTTTTGGTAGGAAATTAATCTTGTTATACATTTTGCTTATCTTTTAATATTTGATTCCCTGTGAGTTGTTTGAGAGCTGTCTATGCCTAAGTTTGATTCCGGCTCTGTTCAATCAATGATTTTAAATTGATGCTTGGTTAACAATTTGATTAAACTTGGAGTTAGCCTATATATGTTGGCTTTATTTAAATAAGATATATTTGCTTTATTTAATTAAGTTGAGTCCATTTTTCTTTAGTTCGAAGTTTGGATGGATAGGTGCCCGGTCTCTGCAGCGAGCCTAATGGGGTGAAGCTAAGCAAACCGTTAGTGCTGCGAGACTGGCAATCTTCTTTGGTTCGATTCAACTAATATTTAGTATATAAGTTAATTCAAATATATATATAGGCAAAATGATTTCTGCAGCTGCTGTACCTACAGCAAGCAAGGATACACGTCCGAATCCTAGGATACGGCAACGGATCCTGAGTTTTTTTTTTTTAAAAAAGCCGTGGGACCCACTTTTCTGTGTCAGCTGTAGATAACACTATCTACTGCTGCTGCAGAAATGTTAAGCCCATATATATATTCTCAAAATAACTCTTTGTTTAACAAATTAAAATTAGAGAAATGCTATAAACATATGCTTTTAATATTTTTTTATTTATTATTAGGTAAAATCTCATGTCCATCTAAACTTTACCCTGTTAGTGTATATTAGTACATGGTTATAATGATACATATGCTAATCACTTGTATAAACAGGGCTTATGGCATCAAAGCAGAAAATGAGAAGATTCACTTGAGGAATAATATTGAGTGTTGTTAAGCTAGATAATTTATTTCTCTAAATTTGGCTATTCGATCTTCTGCATTCATACTAATTGATGCTTTCATTTTAACTAATTTAAATTTCACATAAAAGGTTATTTGTCCCACTTAACTCCATTTACATAAAATAAGAACACAATCAGCAGGTACATATAACATTGTGCGCCTTTTAATTTGTATATATTTTATTTATTATACCATTTTTATATACAAATAACATTTTGTCATTTGGGATTTGGTCTTCACACACATAGGTACAAATATTATTTATACAGTAATCTATTAATATTAATAGAATAGAATTAAAAAGTATTTAGTAACGAGATCAAGGTTAAGAATGAGAGATGTTAGATATTTAAATTTTATCCATAGGAATATAAATAATTAGGGCTACACGAACTCAAACTGCAGACCTTCTCAGTAAAACAGATTAGATTTTGGACAGACTAGAACCGTAGACCTTCTTGGTAAAATAGATCAAACTTAGTTTGTTATTTGGAATTTCGGTACACATACGCACACGCATACGCACACGCACACGCACACGAGATGACAATCAACAATTATCATTTATTGAGAATTAATAATTAATTTATAAGCTTAATTGACGGAAATTATAACCGTATCGGTAAAAATCAACGGTTAGAATTTTGTGTCAAATTTTAAAATTTGACACTGATATCAAAGGATCATGTCCCTATATATATACATATATAAAATTTTATCAATACTAGGTGTTATTTTATTGTATAATTCACATTTCAACTTAATAATATATATTTTAAAATATAAATAAATGTTAATTATAAGATTATACATATAAATATTTATTTCTAAAGTTTTATTATGCATAATTATTTAAATAATATCACATGATTTAGGGTTAAATTTTTAATTTTATATTTAAAAAATGTTAAATAATATAAATGTCAAATACTTAATCCTAAACTACCTGAGCATATCTCATATTATGGGTATGTGCATTAAATTTGATGTTATGAAATTCTTCACTCAATAAAATAAAGTTATTAAATAGTCTCTTTTCAAATTCAAAGCCTAGGTGACGTGAAGTGAACTAGTGAAGTACCACAATTTTTTATTTTGCCTGTTCTGTTTAATTTTTGTTCACAAACACAAATTATGCAGTGCTCTTGTTGTCCCTATTTTCCTAAGAACGTGTTTTGCTCGCTTTTGTCACTCGATACATGTTTGATGACAACACGCTCCTCAGGTCAGATTTCAAATTTCACTTGTATTTATCAGTCTCTTTGATTTTCATTCCTTCTCCGTGAACATTATCCTTTGGAAATTCATGTTTGGTTCTATGGCAATAAAGCTCCCATCTTCAGCATATTCTAGTCGATTCCTCAAATGGGTTTATCTCTCTTCAAGCAGTATTGAAGAAATTTCAGAAACCATTGGAATTGTGAAGCCCAAGGGTTCATCTGAATTCGACCAAAATATTAATTTTTTGAGGAATAAGCTTGCACCAGATAACTTAATCCGGGTTTTGGACCGCACCAGCGATTTGAACTCAGCAGTGAAGATATTCAAATGGGCTTCTATTCAGAAGAGTTTCCACCACACCTCCAATACATATTCTGAGATCATTTTGAAACTGGGTATGGCTGGGAATGTTCTGGAGATGGGGGATTTTTGTCAAAACATGGTGAAGGATAGATGCCCAGGTGCTGAAGAAGCTCTTGTAGCATTGGTTCACACATTTGTTAGGCATTGTAGGATTAAAGAAGCGATTGCTGTTTTAGTAAACATGAATTTGGGTGGTTTTAAGCCCCCCATTGAAGTTTTTGATGTTTTATTGTCTTCTATTGTGGAAGAAGAAAGTAAGGATTTTCAAAGTGCCTTGTTTGTTTATAAAGAGATGGTTAAGGCAGGAATCCCACCCACAGTCCACACTTTGAATTATTTGTTGGAAGTATTGTTCAGTACCAATCGGGTTGACTTGGCTTTGGATCAATTTAGAAGAATGAACAATAAAGGATGTAGTCCAAATAGTAAGACCTTTGAGATTCTTGTAAAAGGTCTCATTGAAAATGGTCGAGTGGATGAAGCTGTTAGTGTTTTAGAGCAAATGCACAAACTCAAATGTCAACCAGATTTGAGTTTTTATACCTGCACCATTCCTCTCTTTTGCAGGGAAAATAAAGTAGAGGAGGGAGTAAGGTTGTTTAAAATGATGAAAGATTCTGATTTTGTGCCAGATTCTTTCATTTATGGGGTTCTAGTGCAGTGCTTGTGCAAAAACTTACAGTTGGATTCTGCTGTATGCCTCATGAATGAGATGATAGAAAGTGGTATACCACCAAAACATAATGTTTTTGTTGATATGATAAATTGCTTTTGTGCATTAGGGAAAATTGATGAGGCTATAATATATTTAGAAGATAAAAAAGTTCATGAAACTGCTCCTTTCAATGCGTTGCTTGAAGGTTGCTGCAATGCTGGTAAAATTTTGGTAGCAAATGTTCTGCTGGAGACAATGTCTGAGAGAAACATAGCCAATTGTCAATCTTGGAATATTCTCATTAGATGGCTTTGTGAGAATAAAGAGACCAAGAAAGCATATATACTTCTTGGCAGGATGATCAAATCCTCAGTTATTCCTGACGATGCAACTTATTCTGCTCTTGTTATTGGAAACTGTAGATTGAGCAAGTATGAAGAAGCAACGGAGTTATTTCATCAAATTTGTCTCAGAGGATGGCTTTTAGATTTTGTCTCTTATTCTGAACTAGTTGGTGGCCTCTGTGACATCCAACATTCTCAATATGCCATTGAAGTGTTTTACTATATGTCAATGGAGAGATGCTCTCTTCATTCCTTCTCCTTCTTCAAGTTGATAAAATGTGTATGTGACTCAGGACAGGTCAACAAAGCCATAAGACTATGGCAATTAGCTTATTATTGTGGTATTTCTTGCTGTATTGCCTCACAAACTACTATCATGCGTGAGTTATCTAAATCACGGAAGACAAAAGATCTGTTAGTATTCCTCTCACAAATGTTGGTAGTGGGCAGCAATCTTGACATGGAAGCATATTGTATCCTCATTCATAGCATGAGTAAAGAAAATCAAGTAAAGGAATGTGTTTTATTTTTCACTAAGATGGTCAATGAAGGTCTTATACCTGATCCAGACAGACTATTTGATCAACTGTCATTCATCGCCAATAATTCTCAGTTATCTATGATTTCTAGTGCAATTAATAAAATTTCTGATACTGGAATTTTGAATTCAGCAATATATGGCTTACTGATAACAGGCCTGTGGAAAGAGGGTAAGGAACACGAGGCACGTAGATTACTGGATTTGATGTTAGAAAAGGGTTGGCTTCCTGATGCAACTACTCATAAATTGTTGATTGGATCTGATGTTAGAGAAGGAAGGAGTCAAGCTACATTTTTGTTTGATAATTCTACCTCACAAGATTCTGTTAGCAATATACTAGCAGAAGGCCTTGGAGATACATGAAACTTCAGCATTCCATGTCCATGAAAGAATCTTGATTTCTTAACAAACCAGTTCCATCATGAGTGATGCTCAATCCATCAAGGATGGTTTATTCAGCACCTATTGAAAACTGTTGTCTCACAGACAACTCTTTCAGGAGATGCAGCTGGGCAGGTGTTAGCTTCGTCAAATTTATTTGCCAAAGTATACTTGGTAAGATGTGGAATGACTTGTGATTTGGGTATAACTTCACTCAGAGGATAGAGTTAACATTTTTTACAATGTATAGATTACATGCTTTGTCTGTGAATCTATTTTATTCTTTCTTCTTAGTTGGTGCAATTAAATGATCTAAAATACAGTCAAAAAGTATATTTAGTTACACGTTTTTGGCTTATTACCAGCTGTTGGGGTTTAGATTCTTTTCGTTAACACACACGCATGTACACGCACACAAGGATTAAAAAGCATGATCTTTAATTATATTTTCGTTGATTTGCAGGAACTAACCTCTCTGATTTATATGCTGCAGAAGAGTTGCATTATCTTAAATCCATGACAATTTGACATTGCTACCAATTGCTATTTAAAAGAGAATTATTTTTTCGTTGTTGCTGCCATTATGATTTACTTCCTTTTTACTTATTGAGGTTTTTACTACCAAGTGCTTTGAAATTGCTGGCAAGTTACTGTTGATTGTTGATTTAAGCTAGCATATTAGCATGTCAAGCTGTCAACTTCATGTTATTGTAACACTTCTATTGCGCATCTGCAAAGAGAAACTGAATGAGGTGCTGTTAATCAATAATTCAAAACGAGACATTTCTGGGCAGGGCCGTGTTACATTATGGAAAGAAGACACCTTAAGAAATTCCCATGCTTTGGATGGGATGGAGACTGAGAATCACTGAGAGGAATAAAATTTTCGGGGAATCGAAAGATAGTTTATGTAATTTTAAATAAATAATCAAACTTTTGGGCTACACACACACACGTAAAATATATAAATAAAGAAAACATATTCACTTTTCAAATATTTTCCAAAGATAGGGGTAGAGAAATAATGTGGCTGCTGAAGCTTGTTTATTAATATTATCATCTTATTTCTTAATTATTACTACTGATTGGTCTTGGAAGAACTTGCATACTTAAAGAATTTGCCACTTATCTTTTCCAAGGATATTGCCTTTCATATGTAAAGTACATAGATCTAAGATGATATGCCAACTTCTTCAATGAGGTCAAAAAATAGCGTGTCAAGATTATAAACCTCAGCTAAGGCACAAAAGTCCAAAAGTTTTACATCTGATGCCATATGCGTCCATTCAACCTCAGCTAACCTCACCGATGAAGCGTGATTTTAATGGCATATTGCATTATGTATGAATAGGAGACAGATTCAATTTCACGGAGAATACACACCCCTTTCCCCCTCCCCTTGACCAAAAAAATAAAAACTTAGCTAAACTTCCTTGCCTCCGTGAAGATTAAATTGAATGTTTCAAATTAAAACAAGATTCGAAGCTTTTAAATGATTCAGCATTCTCAGCCGTGAAGGGTCTGGACCTTATACTTATTTGTACGCTAGCGAACCTTAAAACAGAAAACAATATCTGATTTACTTAGTCTAGCAGATTCCTTAAATGAACTTCGATCTCCCTATCTCAAGTTCTACTCTGGCTCCTAAAAATGGTATCAACTATCAACAGTCAATAGACATATAGGGATCAATATGGTAACACTCATATTACCATTCAACATAGTAGGTGTTCTCACTCCAAAAAGACAAGATAGCATCTTCAATGAATTATCTGGGGTACACAATACCCGCGTGATGATAAATGATTGAAGGACCTAAGCAGAATCTAACCAACCTCCTCTCCACCCTTTCTCCCAAAGAAAAATTCCGCCTCCAAAAGAAAAAAATAAATAAGAAAATGGGCTGCTATACTGAGAAGGTAGCAGCAGAATATGAGCGCAGCTTAACTAGTATGACAAGAAAGCAACATAAATCACAGCATATCTTCCTAAGTCATGCAGGAATGAAATGATCGTGCACACATGCATACTTCAGATTGCCTCGGAAGAAAAACTAACAGTCACCATTTTATTTCTCAGAAGACAATGAGTTATTAAAAGTTATAAATATGTGAATGAATAACTTGAAGGAACAGGAAGATAACTTGGAATTCTTTTCCAGAAAGTTGTTAAGAAATTCTCAGCTGAAAGTATTTAAGACCTCAAAATTCAAAATGGTAAAAAACATGTCTCATACATGTAGACAACAACGCCAAGGAGATAGTTTTTACCATGAGGAGTAAATCTGAACATCAAGTGCCAAAGGAGGATCTGTTGGTTTTCAACAATTTAACTGGTATGTGGCTTACTCCCAGTAAACCCGAAAGCTGGGTAAGCAAGTATTAGCATAAACCTGACATTGAATTGAATACTAAATATATTTAAATTTCTTCAGTTGCAAAAACAACTCCAGCATATTAACAAGTGTTCAAATATATGCAACACACGGCTGCTCAAACGCTGGATTCGCTATGGCCCAAGTTTAAAATCTTCCCAATGGAAAAGAATTCCTAAATCCAACTAATCAAAAAATTGATAACTAAAATCCCTGTGATTACAGTTATCAAAATCCCAGATAACCAAAGTCATTGTGAAGAATCTGACACCTGAATCCTGATAGTCACTAAAGAAATAAAAGAAAAAGAATAAGAATAGACTAGCATCTGATACTCACTAACAGCAAAAAAAATAAACAATGTGCATAACGTAATTACAGCCGGGGAGTTAAAATACAATAGAATTGCATAGTCACATTAGTACGGAGGCTTTACAAGGGAATGGAATGGATACATTTCATGTATAAGGTATTTGCGAGAATGGCTTTGGGAAAAAAACATCCTGAAACAAGTCAAATGTTTTCTTGCTCAGAATTCCACAGCACTAACTCCAGAAACCGTCACTGTCTTTGTCTATCTGCATTTAAACCATTTGAAACAAGGTGATCATATATTTAAGCAACAACAACAACAAAAAAAGCTTTACAATTCCAAGTGAAAACCAGTACCATTCATAAAACAAAAATTAAATAATAATAATAATAAAAAGAAACCTCCCCTAACCTTGACAAGTCTGAATGGTTTCCAGAGAATGTTAAGAGATCATGTAGTAGAACTAACATCAACAATCCTACCATGGCAACTCCGTACACGCTCCAAATCTTGTTCAAGATTCCCTAACTTGCTATCATTTCCAGGCTTAGGATTTCCATTAGCCCCAATTTTGTTAACAGGCACAGACAAGCCATTATTCTTAGGCAAAACCTCCTTAATGTTACCCTCTCCTCTTCCTATAAAACCATTCTTCAAGTCCTCTTTTTTGCACATAACCACCTTATGATGATTAGTTCCCATTCCCATTCCCAAATTCCTCGACCCAGAAACCTCAAGGGAACCCTCAACACGCTTAACCTTATCAACCGCAGAGCAATGGTCCAAAGCCTCCTTGGCCCTCTTCCTCGCCACCGCAGCCTCGCGAACAGTCCTATCTGCCCTGGCTCTGGCCATGCCTAGGGCTTTGGCCATGGACGCGGAAGCGATCTTGGAGGCACAGAGGAGCACGAGGGCGAGGTTTTTATCGATGAGGGAATTGGAATTGGAATTGGAATTGGAGTTGGAATCGGGAATGGGGAAGAAGGAGAAGTTAGGTATGGAGCATGGTGGACAGAGGAACGAAGAAGGAGGAGGTGAAGGAGAAGGGAGGCAATGGAGGTGTGTGAGGGAGGAGCATTTGATGCACGATATGAAACGGTGCGCTGAGGCTGATGACGTGGTGGAGAGAGGATGCTCGTAGAATTCGAAGCATGAGGGACAGAAGCATGAGGGGTGAAGCCGCAGGACGCACGATGTGCAAAGGCGTCGATCCACGCCGCGAACCAGAACGCGGTGGAAGAGCCATCGCTCCTTCGAGCTGCAGTTTGTACATTCGCCTTTTATGGTGGCGGGGTTCGGAGGTGGCGGAGTGGGTTTTGTAGGTGGAAGGTTCATAGCAATGGTGAGGGTCAGGGTTTTATATAAATATATAAATGTAATTGGGAGGATGTGAGTGTTTTAGGGTTTTGAAGAAGAAGACGAAGAAGACGACGAGGAGGAAAAGCGAGGGGGGAAGGATCAACGAGTTTGGAATGGACCCCTCACTGATCCGAATTGATGACTTGGTCGAATACTTTGTTGTTCGTGCAATGCAGAGGTGCGACACAAATTTATATAATATCACTGTGTTTCTCGAATAATTTATGGGAAAAAAATCTGTCATCTTAAATTACACATTTTATATTTTTTCATTTTCATAAAAAATTGAGAGGAATGATATTATAACAATTAAATTGTGTTACTACCATATTACTACCAATCAAATTCACTATTAGATCGATTGTGTTGATCCAACGGTTATATTCATTTTCATCTATGTATGGTCATAATTTCTCAAATTTAATACTTTATATTTATTTCCACCTTCGTAGGGCTATGATTTTCCATATTTAATACTTTCACTTTAAATATGAAAAATCATAACTATACAAAGATGGAAATAAATATAACCGTTCGATCAATATAATTGATCTAACGATGAAATTGATTGGTAGTAACATGATAGTAACACAACTTGGTTGTTACAAATTACAATATCCTTTCCCAAAAATTGGAACCCAAAATTTTTAAAAAAATTCTCGCTTACTCTTTCTCTTATAATTTATCTATTTTTCTCACTTAAAATGACACATCTTTATGTCTTTTAAGATGATACACATTTTTTCTATAATTTATATATATATTTTGGGAATAACATTTGTCTTTTTAAAGGATAGAAGCTTATATCATTTTAGATCCTAACCGTTGATTTTTGTCCATCACTAGTTATAAATTATTGTATCAAAATTATTAATTAATTAATAATAAATTTGGCCCATTAAATTTAACCCAATAGATTATAACCATTAATGGACAGAAATCAACGGTTATGATCTAAAATGATATAAGGTCATATCTTTTAAAAGGATAGATGTTTTTCCATATTTTTTATCTAATAGAAAAAAGAGAGATAAAAGAACTTCAATATTTTTTTTCATGAATATTTTGAGTCACTTTATCACTTTTCGTAATATAAACGGTGTTATTATTACTTAATTTCTTGCTACGAAAATTTTCAAATTGAAATTGTTATATTATTATGGTGTAAATATGGAAAATATTTGTACTGGTTTATTTTCTTTTTCATGAGTCAGATTATAATCTAGGATTTGAGTTTATTCCTTTAGATCCAATTAATTCTGTATAAATAAGTATCCATTATATATATATATATATATATATATATATATATATATACAAAAAATTAATAATATTTCAATTTATTCTTTTCTAACTTATGATATTGTAAACATGGAAGGTTAACAACTGGTATACTCATGAACAACAACAACAAACATGTTTGGATTAGTGATGCTTTTAGTTAATTTGTGGAAGCAGAACTATTAGTGCCGACCAATTAAGTGTCTACGATTTATGGACATTAGATTTCCAATCAAGTGCATTTGTGGAAGCAGAACTATTAGTGGTAGGTAATAAGCAGTCCATTAACCGAGTAAATCTTTAGTGCAACGAACGTAAATACATTCTTAACAAAAAAATAAAAATAAAATAAAATATGAAAAAAATAACCATAAAAATAAAAATAATATAATTATATTAATTTTTTTTTATATTTGTTGAAAGATATAGTGAATAGTCGGTAAATATTATTCTCTTTTTACATAAAATATCTTCTCTTATGTTCTCTCACTTCGATTTTCGTACCTCACCTTTTTCTTTTTTTCTTGTAATGATGAAATTCACTTATTTTTTTTCTACAACATAAGATAACTATATTATGTTAAATGAGACTAATAAAATCCTTTAAACAAACCCAATCTCATTAAACAAACCCAACTTTGCATGACTGCATATGCTCGAGGATCCCACGTGATGTGATGTGATGTGATAGGCAACGGGCAGAGTGGTCCTCTCTTATTTTATTTGTCTGCCATACATTTATGGGATTTATTAGTCTCTTTTAATAAAAAATAGTTTGCCTAATGCATAAAAACAAATTATGTGAATCCCATCATTTTTAAAAATAAAAAAAATGACAAAATTTATGTCTCACTGAACATAAGATAATTGTCTACTATAAAAGGAGACAATTTAAACCCTACATTTATACGACAGATTCGCACTCCGGACTTAGCAGAGATTTCAAGCAAGGGGAACCAAACTTGTACAGATTCCAAGCATGACAACTATAAGTGCTTGCACCCTGAATTTAGACTAGCGAGTAGCGATGCAACCAACTACAAAAGAATAATAAATACTCTACAACAACCATGCTTTCCTTATTGCATAACTAAAACAGTAGTTCTAGGTTTTTTTTTTCCAATTCCCTTCACAAGAGCTGTTATATGCATTGTACAGATCCTTGTGCCACCAGTCCTTGGCTGAAACTCTGTTAATAAAATCAAAAAGGGGAAATAAATTAGTTAATTGTCAATCCAATATTGCTCTTGTAATACACAGCGGCAAATTAAGAGGGGGTGGAGGCTAAAGTTTGATAGCTAAACCTAACATAAAATGAGTCATGTGTAAATGTGAGTAGGAAAGCGGGGGGAGTGAATTCAAAGTAAGATGACCCTTACGGTGTACAGCACTCTAACTATTCCTTGCAAGTAGACTTGTTGTGCCCTAGTCCCTTGCACTGGCTGCAACGAAGTTGGCGCTTGACTATGTCTTGAGATACATATCGCTTTGTAGTTGGTCGACCCGGTGGTCGTCGGGTGGGAGGAGGTGTTACTGTTACTACAAACTGAGAATCTTTTGAAGCAGACACATCCAAATTTGGAATCGGTTGTACAAACTCTGAGTAAGTCAATCTGTAGCTTTCAGTTGTAACATATCTGGAGCAATAATCATACACACTCCGGCCAATGCCAACAATGACAGCAATGGCATGGCAGCATGGGACACCAGTCAGCTGCCAGACTTTGCAGCTACATTCCCAGCAGTCAATGTCAACCACCTCAGTTGTGTCACCACGAACCTCGTATGTGCTGCTGCCCGATAGCAGAACTTGAAGTGAATGAGTTTTTTGGTTTTCCCTTTTAAGCTTCTCCTCCATGGATGGAGTCAGCCTACTCAACCATTGATCGGATTCTGCTCTTCTGGCAACAATCAACTCCATAATCTTACCCCTAATTACATCAACCATCTGAGTTATTGGCAATTCATCTGCCTGTGATGCCCAACTATAGAAAAGTTCCCCAAAGTTTGAAGTCATGTGATTATACCTAGTACCCTGAAAAAATGAATTCGCCCAATGCTGGGGTTCACTTTGTATAATCCAATTGTAAGCTTCTAAAGAAATTTTTTTAATGCTCTCCATACAGTTTTCGAAGCCTTCTAGTTTGGATGCATAAGCAGCAGCATATAAATCCTCAATCATCAGTCGCTTTACCTCATGAGAAAACTGCCCTTTCAAGTCTCTAAAAAGTTGCTCAGTTAAGTACCGTAGGCAGTATGCATGAAATGAACCTTCAAATATCTCAGCAATCGAATTTTTGAGCCCATTCTCTCTGTCAGCTACAAATGTTATGGGACAAGATGTTGACAGCACAGATTTGAGTTGAAATAAGAACCAAAACCAGCTATCATCAGATTCAGCATCAACAATAGCAAAGGCAACAGGAAAGACACCATCATCTGCATCAGCAGCTGTTGCTGCTAACAATTGCCCTTGGTACTTTGACTTCAATGGAATGCTATCAAGGAAAATCAGTGGCCGGCAACCTTGTTGAAAGCCATACAATGAAGCATGAAATGATACAAAGAGACGATGGAAGCTTGAGTCTTCCTTAGTAGTGTAAATAGCTAGACTTCCAGGATTAGCCTCCATTATTTTTTCACAAAAGAGAGGTAATTGACTATATGCCTCTTTATAAGAACCCTGAAGCTGCTCCTTCGCAATTTCTTTCCCACGCCATGCCTGAAAGTAGTTTAGTTGAATTCCATATTCCTGCTTGATGTCATTGACAATGTCCTTGGGCTTGTAATTTGGAAAAACTTTCAACTTCTCCTTTATAATGCTGGCCACCCAACTCCTAGTTGCTTGATGCCCTGTTGTTGCAACGGCCCCTTCACAAGTATGAGTTGAATTCATTTTCTTGATACATATCAACTGAGTAGTTGACAACCTTGATGCATGAATTCTCCAAGGGCAACCTTCAGCTTTGCATTTAACAGTCACACGATGACTATCGTTTTTCTTATATCTAAAGGCAAATTGATGAGCAATGGCATATTTACGCAATGATTCTCGAAACTCATGTACGCTGCTGAACCTTTGACCCACACCAGTGATAGTGTTCTGCCATTGCTGTGCCCCTTTCGCGTGATTCTCATCATTTGAGGAAAGAAGAGGGAAAATGGGGGGAACTTCAAGAGGAATGTCTATATGTGTATCAAGTTGATTTGTATCATGAACAACATCAGGTGGAGCATCAATTGGAACTATTGAATGCGAAGTGTCATCCATGACATCGTGCAAAACAAGAGTCTGACTAGTATTGACTGGTACTGCTGTTTCAGACAAGGTTGTTCTGCTTGACCTAGAAATCCAAGAATTCCAAATTCAAACTCCAGAAAATCCAATAAAATAACAATGATATTCATATTAGCTTAGAAACAAAGAAAACTACCTACTGGCTGGCATGTTCGACACCTCAGGGGCAACTACCTCTTCAATACGGATATAGATATCAACAGTAATTGAATCCCCATGAAATTTAACCATTCGTTGTAGATCCTTGTCATTGGAAATTGTAATGAGAGTCTTCTTGTTACCAGGTAGGAAATACTTGATAGACATGCTATCAACACTAAGATTAAACATCTCTGCTACTTCCACCTTGAAGTCATTAAATTTCATTTGATCATCAATGTCGATAGCATGAGCATCACCGCCTTTATATGACAAACAACCATCTTTCTCAGTTTCAAAATCGCCTCCACACTGACATATTGCAATTAGCTTCTTGGCAGCCATGACCTGCCATAGCAAAAGATAATACTTAACATCGAAATACCAATTGGAAAGAATGTTCTTGGAATATAATTTACAACAAAAAAATTAGGTAAAGTGCACAGAACCTCCAGAAATATCCAAAACTCTAAGCGCAAACTAACCTGTTTTTTGTTTCGATTAGAGCACTAATAAGAATAAAATGTGCCCTTACGTATATGATGATGGTCAATCACACTGTAAACCCTAAAATCAGATTAAAACAAAAGTAATGAGAAATTAAAGGAAACGTACCTGATTGATTATCAGAGAAACGAATTGGGGTTGCCAAACCCCAAACCCAAATAAATTGTAAATTGAACACGCTTCTCAGGTTCGCAAATGCATCGTAAGAGTGAGTACGGTCCTATTTGCTTTGCTGGTGAAAAGAAACCGAATAACAGAAAAGGAAGGAAAATTAAATTTTCTATTTGTTTATTCAAAGGAAAATCCTCTGCTACGGAATAAACCGTATCAGGCTTTTAGAGCTGCACCTGGACGAAACTGGGCCTGTTCTTCATTTTATATATTCATTTAAATTTTGTAAGGTTATTTTACATAATTTTACTTATCAAATAACACGCAAAGAAATATATAGGGTCCATGTAAAGAAAACAGAGAAACAAAAAAAAAAAAAACTAGGAGCTCCATATTTTTATTAGTATTTTGATGAATATTAAACCCTATATATATTTTTCCCATACATACGAGTTTACAGTTTCTAAGGTTACTTTAAATAATTTTATCTAATGTTCACTAAAATAATACAAAAAAGTGTACGGGTCCATGTGGACCTACGTGAAGAGAAGAGAGAAAAAGAAAATATGGGCTTCATACACTTTTTGTGTATATTTTGGTAAACATTAGATAAATTTATTTAAAGTAACTTTAAAAAATTTAATATATATATATATATATATATTTACTGGTGTCAAATTTTGAAATTTGATACCAAATCCTAATCGTTGATTTGTGCCAATCAACGATTATCATTTGTTGAAAATTAATAATTAATTAACAAGTTTGATTCTCAATAAATGATAACCGTTGATTAGCGTAAATCAACGGTTAGAATTTGATGTCAAATTTTAAAGTTTGACACTAGTGTTAAAGGATCCTATCCCATATAATAACTATTGATTGACGTAAATCAACGGTTAGGATTTGGTGTCAATCAACAATTGACACCTGATCGGTCGAGTACAATTTGGGCTGGCCAATATGGACTGGGCCAAATCACGCACAGTTGAAGATTGAAGACTTTAAGTTGGGTGAAGTACTTCGTGGGCTAGTGATGTCGAGCTTCCTTGGCGAATTGAATATGACTGGGAGTACCTGCCATGACACTCCCACGCTCAAGTCAGTATCAATGCTAGGCTAATGTTATATTCTTACTGGAATTAGGGGTGCTAAACGAACCAGTGGCCTTTGGCTCGGCTCGTGAAGGTCCGAGCTTACATGTCTAAAATTGGTTGTTGGCACCAGACTTGAACTTGTATAAAAGTTCATTTAATAAAAAGGCATCAGGCTCTAATTCAAAAACTCGGCCTTAGAGCCTCTCAGGCTGGCATAGTATATTATTTTTATTTTTATTTATATTTTTTTTTACTACTTGTAATAGCCCTCTCTTTCTCCTCAATCCATCTCACCCCATTTTATTAGTTAAATAGAGTTTTTGAATAATTTGTTTTATATTATGTTGTTTGAATATACATTGAATTTGTGAATAAACACAGGCTTAGCCTTTTAAGACCAAAGCTCGGCTCGGCTCAGCCCGTTAACACCCCTAACTGAAATTAGATGATCATACCTGGGTGTGTGCCCTTTGTTTATATAGTAAGCTTTATGCCATCTTTGGTAGGCGGTATGTCTTCTAATTGGCTGTTTAAGGGCTGCAGACTTATCTGTTCTCAGCTGGTGCCTTTCTGGCTATACACCTATATGTTAGGATGCCTTCTTAGAGTGGTGGCAAGCTGGAGCTGTCTTTTGTGTATTGGCTTATAGCGCGGTGGATCTTTGTTTGTTATAGAATTCTTCCTTAGCTTTTAAGTCATATAGCTCTAGCCCTTTATGCGATAGTGACATTGCACATTTTATGGGGCCTGTATGTACTTGGGCCTATTCTTTGGGCTTTTAACCCTTTGTGGGCCTATTAAAGTTTATCAAGATCAACACCAAATCCTAACCATTGATTTACGTCAAGCAACAGTTATTATTTATTGGGAATTAAACTTATTAATTATTAATTCTCAATAAATGATAATCATTGATTAACGAAAATTAAGGGTTAGGAATTGGTGTTAAATTTCAAAATTTGACACCAGTGTCAAAGGATCTGCCTCTATATATATATATATATATATATATATATATATATATATATATATATATATGGGCTTATCATTTCTCAAGCTGCCGGAGATAATTTTATCTCCGGCTACTAAATCATAACCGTACAAAGATGGATCAATGGTAATGAAGGAAGAGAGAGAAAAAAGGAATCATAACCATTCAAGGGTGAATCAATTAATATAAGGAAATGAATAAACAAACGACGTAGTTTTGGAGTGGCCGGAGATAAACTTATCTCAAGTTGTCGGAGAAATATTTTTCCCTATATATATATATATATATATATATATATATATAAGGTTTATCGTTTTTCAAGTTGCTTGAGATAACTTTATCTCCGGCTACTAAATCATAACTGTACAAAGATGGATCAATAGTGATAAACGAAAAGAGAGAAAAAGGAAATTATAATCATTCAAAGATGAATCAATTAATATAAGAAAATAAATAAATAAAACGACATAGTTTTTGGGTATATGGAGATAAATATATCTCAAACTGCTTGAGAAATATTTTTCTCATATATATATATATATATATATATATATATATATGGCCTTATCGTTTCTCAAATTGGTTGAAATAACTTTATCTCCAGCTATTAAATTATAACTGTACAAAGATGAAGCAATGGTGATAAAAGAAGATAGAGCAAAAGGGGATCATAATCATACAAAAGAGAATCAATTAATATAAATAAATAAATAAAATAAAGTAATTTTTGAGTAAATGAACATAAATATATCTTAAACTGCTTATATATATATATATATATAGATATATATATATATATATATATATATAAAATGGAGAACAAGTTGCTAGCTCAGATTATTTCTGCCAAGAAACATGTATATTCATTTGACATTAGCGTTATTTAATCCTCTACGTATGCAACTTAAAAATAAGTTAAATAATTAAATTTCATGTCACTAAATTTTGATCAAATTGCATCTGCTCAAATTGAACTTGTAAAGGCATTTATAAATTTATTCCTCTTCAAATTGAACTTAGGGTAAAATGGCAAGTTAACTTAATTACTAACTGTGTTTAATGTGCACTATGAGAAAAAAAACCATATGGGATGATTGATAAGAAAAATAAATAAATATAGGAGTGTATGAGATAAAAGAGTAAACCACATGAAGGTTTATGAATTTTTCCCTTTAAATAAAAAAACCTTCCACTTTTTTCCACTCTGAATTATGTTTCTCTTGTTATAAACTATAGTTATTTTGACTAAAATAAAATAATTTTATGTCCTTTAAAAAAGATAAACACTAATCCCTTTAAACAACTGAAATTCTCAAACATAATCTTACGTAATATAAGAGGATTTATTCCTGACATAATTACTTATCATGCTTTTAACATATCTGTAATATGTAGCATAAATTTGATTTGATATTCGCTACATGGAACATATTTCGAATTAGAAAATAAAAGTATCAAAATACAACATTGAAAACAACCTTTATAGTTTATACAGGCTGAAAATTATTGAAAGAAAAAGTTGAGTTTAGCCGTGATATCATGAGCATAAAATACAGAAATCTTCAAAGTAATTAGGCTAATTAGAATAACTAATAATACCACAGTCTAAATAGAAGAAGAAGAAGTGTGTCTCATTCTACTATCCTCTAAGCCCTTAAAAACAATGAAGTAAAATTTGGTTAAAAATTTGTCAGCCATCAACTGATCAATTACACATAATACAATTCAATTAAGAACTCCAGAGGATCCATGTAATCCACGATTATTGACGTGATTAAACACTTTTTCTTTGGGGTGTATTACATGATTAAACTCTTTAAATAAAGTATTAGTGTATTACCAAAAGTTCAGATAACAGTGCATTTTTTTATTTTATTAAAAGAAAATATTTACGGCCTAAACAGGCGTTAAAATATATTAAACTGTTTCTATCATGTGTCCTCTACTTGGGGGACCACTACCAAAACAAAACCCAAACGATTTCACATATCACTGTTGGGCTGGAAGATTTCTTTTCACCATTGGATTAGAAAGTACTACATCAAGGAAAGTAATTACTATCTTCGACAAAACGTAAGTCCTATTTGTTCTCGTTGAATGCATCAACCCCTCACGCAATAAATGCATCCTTCTGCATATCAAAATTGTTGGGGCCACAAGAAGGCCAGACACAAACGAGATTGAAATGTAAAAATGAAGGTTTTTCAGATAGATTTTCATGTCACAAACTTTTCACAAGAGATACTGCTTATTGTAAAAACTTGGTCAATAAGTTTAACATCAATTGGCACAACGAGTATTGAATGCGTGCAGCTGTTAGATATTATTTTTACAAGGACAATTCCATGGATCTCAACATCGAAGTCAACTTTTATGGAAATTCAAGTCTGCAAAGCCAAGACGGTCAATTGATGCAGTTTCTCTACAAAAACAGAGTCCATGGTACCGAAAATTAACCAAGCTTGCAGGCAACCACAACCATTGCTGTTATTCATCTAAAAGACTCAGTTGACACGTTTCAACTGCAAATAAACAAGAATATCATATAGGGGTGACGACAAAAATAACAAAACGAGAAAATTCGAGGAAAAATAGCAGCAAACTTTGTTGTTGTTAAATCAGAAAATGTGGCATTAACATTTGTTGTTAAACTGTTCTGAAAGAACTAGTTTCTAACTAGTGCATTGCATGTAAAGTTAAATGTTTTTTATTCAATTTTTTATCCTCTGTAAATCAAGTTTGTTTGTATAGATTCCAATAAAAAAAAGTTCCCAATCACAAGTAATTATTTTTGAAACTACCAGTATGAACTAGATTGTAAGGATACTAAAGAAACCCCAATTTTCTCTAATTATAGAACACGATTCGCTATGCTAAACCTAAGAAAACACAAAGCGGGGATGGTCAAGATAAAATCATGATCGATAAGATGACAACAACAACAACAACAAAAGAAAGCAATGAAAGTATTAGTTTCCTAGTTTACCTCCTTTTCTTTGCAGAAAGAGGGAGGGTTAATATACTATTCAAACGAAAGACTGAAAAGTTTAGGTCAAAATAAGGTAAATGATAAAAAAGAGTCAAAACAATAAATGCATTCAACTTCTAATGAGATAGAACGGTAATTGCTCCTTAAAGCTTGAAAATTTACTCATGAAAAACAGTGTGAATATATGATGCTTACTAGAGCTTTAGTGGCAAAGTTCTAACATGTCAATGAAGTAAACCCAAACTGATGGTGCCAGATTGCAGGAACCTGACTTTTAGTTGAGTCAAACGAGGATCTCATTTCAGCATGTGCTAGTGTCAAACATAATGAAATTTTCAACGGACTGGGCACCACATAACGACACAATCACCACACCAGAGTGTTATATTTATGTCCAATGAAAAACTCAATATTTGCAAATATTTATTATAAAAGTGATGTATTCGTTCAGAGGAGTTGGTAGCATACCACCACTTCAAGTGGAAAGAAGAGCACAAGTAAAGCCATTGCGCACAAGTTGGTCAACTGCATCCCTGAACTTGTAATAGTCCTCAACTTTATTGTACACTTGATGAGAAATCCTGGCATATCCAGTTACTGATCCAACTTCCCCATCTCTGGGTGGTCGAAAATATATGGGAACTTCAATCCCAAAATCATCCCTCAAATGTGTCCTTAGCTTGAGAGCATCAGAATCAGTCATGATCCCCAAGCAAGGAGGCAAACCCACCATGACCATGCTAGCACACATCTCAGGAGGAGTCCCAAGATGAGTTCCCCAAGCAGCAACCAACATCTCACCCATCTCAACAACAGCATCATGATTCCTCTTCTTGATTCCTTCAATACCACCTTCAAACCTATTAACGAAATCCACAACAGCAGGAACCACCAACTGGGCACTGTAATCCCTATTCCCAATCCAAGAACTCTCCACAGCCAACCCATTCCCATACTCATGAGACACGACAGGGTGGTGCAAATCACACGACTTTGAAGATCTTCTACCGTAGAGAAAAGCAACAGAAGGTGGACAAAAGAACCACTTGTGCAAATTGCTGGTGTAAAAATCAGCACCAATCCCTTGCATATCAACACGTGTGCACCCAATAGCATGTGCCGCGTCAACGAAAACCTGGTCAACCCCTTCTTCCCTGCAAATCTTAACTAACTCCTTAACCGGAATCACCACGCTCGGCATGGAAGTCACGTGATCAATAACCGCTAACCTAACCCTATTACCCTCGGCTTTTCCTCTTTCGAGGGCGCGACGGAATTCACTAACGATCTCGTCGTCGGAGCTCACCGGGAACGGAAGGTGAACCTCGACGACTCTGCCGCCGGCGCGTGAGACGTAGGCCTCGATGGATTTCTTGACGGAGCCGTAAGCGTAGTGGAGCATGAGGACGACGTCACCTTTCTGGAACCTTCCTTCGTGGAAGGCCCAGGCGGCTTGCTGGAGGACGATGGCGGTGGCGGTGGTGGCGTTGTCGACGATGGAGATCTCGTCGACGTGTTCGGCGTTGATGAGTTCCTTGATGATTGTCCTGGAACGGAGAACCCCCTTTTTGAGCTCGTTGAAATAGAAGTGGTCGGGTTGACGGAGGTTCTTGAGCTGCCATTGGTGTTGCACGGCGATGACTGAGGCTGGGCAGCAACCGAATGCGCCGTTGTTGAGGCGAGCGACGTCGGGGTCGTGGTGGCTGAATTCCGATTGAATCTCGGCGTCTGTGATGGTCGAGGAATTACAGAGCTTTGGTTTCTTCGAAACGTGGGGAATAATGACATCGCCGTTTTGGTGATTGTGTTTGTGTGTGGCCATTGGATTTGGAATAGCAATGAAATTGAAGATGAGAAAATGGAATTTAAAATGAGGAAGCTAAAGTTACCTTTTTCTATCAGGATGATGCTTTCTGATTCATCTATGTGTCTTCACTATCTCGATGTCCATTTGCCATCTTTTTTTGTTTTTTTTTTCAATCTTTTGCTTCGATTTGGTTAATTTGTTGTGCCGTGTGGGTATCTATCACACACCACTTAAGCAAGTATCCATTGTATTAAAGGTATAGTCTTTGTTATTTAAAAGTACATAAATTTTGTTTTTTTAGTGACGACCAATTTTATTTTGTGTAAATCACTTGAAATGACACAAGTCAGTGAAACTACTTTTATCCCTGTATTAATCATGTCATGACTATATAACAAAAGTTTTTTTTTTTTTTTTTGGATTACACTATATAACAAAAGTTAATTCAATTAAAATATCAAATTGAAAATGGATCAGGTTAAACCTTTTTCAACCGGATCCATGAGTATTAAGATAGTGGGAAAAGTTGATACGGAAATGCCATTTTAGGTTGCAAATTATTATTTTCAGGTAATGAATGGCATAGTGATAATTCATGTGATTGAGCATTACTCGAATTAATGAAACCATCGTTTGCATGTAGAACACGGATAACCTTTTATTCACCACATTCCTTGGTCAACTTCAAAACTTGTTGAATTATAACATTTGGATATAATCAACCAAAACCCACCACTTGTTACTGAAAACCATGGTCATGGCCTTTGATAATGACATACAAAAGAGAGGGAAATCATTTTCTCATGTGATAGAAAATAGTTTTCTTATGTTGTGAGACATCGAAATCTGTGTAATTCTTTTTGTTTTTTTGTTTTTTTTAACAAGTGGTGAGTTTCACCACTTGTTGTGTCTATGGCATGAGAGATGCAACCTCATGTGACATGAGAAAAGAGAAACCCCAAAAGAGAAATTATAATCACAGTATTGTTGACAACCTTGTTTTTAAGACAATGTCTTCTTTAAAGGCGGAATTAGAAATTTTTATAAGTGGGTCAAATTATATATATTTTAAGAGGTAGGATCATTTGATATCAGTGTCAAATTTTAATTTTGACACCTCGTCTGAGAGCCGTTAGATCAAAAAAGATCAACGACTCTGATTTGCAAGCATGTGACATCATTGATCTTTTTTGATCTAACGGCTCTCAAATGAGGTGTCAAAATTGACACCGGTGTCAAAGGATCCTAACTCATATTTTAAAGGAAAAAGTGTGTGTCATTTTAAAGGATGTAAAACTGTATCATTTTAAGAAATAGAAAGAGATAGATGAAGGAGGAGAGAGAGTTAACAAAAAAAAATAAAAATAAAAGTATGGGTCTCACCTCTTTGTGAGAATGAAATGATATAAGTTACGTCATTTAAAAAGATAAATACTTGATCCTATTTTAAATGGGGTGAAAAATAATTATCAGTTACTTTTCTAATATAAAAAAATCCAGAGATAAATGAGAAACGAATGTGTATAGAGTGAAGATAGGTAGGTAATCTTTACCCCATTTAAAACTTTAATATCTTCAAGCACAGCCAAGTTTTTCTTTAATATATGGTTTGAGTTACGATCACCAATTCTCCAGCAGGAATGTGGTGTATTGGTATACTCTCTCAAAGCTAAGAGAAATCTCTGTAATATCTAAAATTTGAGAAGAGTGATCTCCCACCCTAGCCGCCTCCTTCACCACTGCATAACATTAATCAGCGATTATAAATTTGTAAATTTAAAATCGCTACATTATCTTTTTGATTCATTTTTTATGTTATACATTTTAATGAAGTTGAATCTACTGAAATCCGTGATTCGTTGCATAAGGATTGCGCCTGTCGAAACAAAGTTATCTCACATGGATCACTAGAAAAACTTATGAACAATAAGCTTAGATATATTTGGGAAATATATACACCAAATGAACAAAAGACTCTGCTGTTGTATAGTACACTTTTAGTAGATTATTGGCTAACACATTGATGGCAATGAAATCGAGTTCCGGAGGGACCAATCAATTGTCTTTTATCTAGTGTGGACCATTTTTTTTAATGAGATTGGACAATTGCATTTAATTGGATTTATGGAAGCCCAAGGCACCATGTTATTTTTGACTCCCAGGTGATATAGTTTCTATGTTTGTCAGCTTCATTTTCCACTCGTTGTCATATTAGTTATTATTTTATAAAATACATTTTCCACTTCGATGCAGGCTGAATTAAAAAAGAAAAACCCTTCTTATAAAATGTTTAGGTAGTGTTTGGTAAAAGATTTATTTTGGGATTCATGAAAAAAATGTAAGTGGATATTGAAAAATAACACGTTTGGTTCAGGTTTTTGAAAAAAATACTAGGCAAATAGGATAGATGAGGAAATGACTTTTGTGTTGATTTTTGAATGAAATTCACTGTTACAGAATACTACTTGAGATGTGGTATTTTGAGATAACTGGAGAAGTGAAAAAACAGGTGCGAAGATTCTCCCAAACATAGATTTTGCAAATTTAAATAAATTTTCCTGATAATATTTCGGTCAATCAAACAACTTTTTTTACATTTTCCTACTAAACTCACTTTCTAACCATTTCCCTATTAATTATATTTATTTAGTATAAAAAAATTTCTACTGAACCAAACACTCCCTCAACGCCATTTGCCATTAAAGTTGTATACAAATATATGTGATAGAATTCGAGCCCATAAATTCATCAATTGCCAAGTTTTATTGATTTTTGTTTTCTTCCTAATTGTTTGCTCCGCCTTTTTTTGTTGTTGTTGCATTTTGTTTAACTTGTAGTCTTGTACGGACCGGGTCAATGATATGATATGACGATCTAGATGTTAAAACTTCAATGCTTACCTCGAAATTTTTGAAATGAGTGCCTGCTATTTTGTCCTCGTCGATCTTTCTCCTATCCTCTCCGTGGAATAAATTTTTTTATTACTATTGTATCAAAAATTTAATGTATTTTATTAATGAAAATATTACATGTTAATTAAATTTTTTTTTGTCAAATTTTTTTTTCTTCTATACTATGTAATACTTCTATTAGTGAAATACACTGAATCTAGTTACAACATATACACCTAAAATTTAGTCCTCCGTATGTCAATATGCCATATATAATGTGTAATTCTCGACCTTCTTGTATTGGCTATGTTTCCTTTGAAGAGTATTTGAAAAAAGAGCTTGGGAAGTTAAAGTTGGATACATTAGAGTTGTGTGAAAATGCTATCCAACAAACAAGAAAAGAAACTCAATATATTGAAATTAACACTAAATGTATCTCCCAAAAAAAAAAAAAACACTAAATGTAAACAATTTAAAAAGAAAATAATGTTCAATTCAAACGAGGTTTCTGATTGGCAAGCAGCCAAGCAGTACCTACAATCACTGCATTATCAATACAAAATAGAAAAAAATACATCAATTTTTTGATACTCAATAAATTTGGTAATTTGGAATAATAAATCTACTTTTTGCTTTGTCAACTGTTCACAAATCATAATTTACATGGCAATGTTTGATTTTTCTCATGTTACATGAGATAATTTGTCTCATGCAACATACAAAAAAGTAAATAAGACCCACTTTGAAGAAGAGAGAGAAAGGAAAAAGGTGGATCTCACTTACTTTTTTGTGGTTGCATAAGACAAATTATGTAACATAAGAAACACATTTTCCATTAAATTATACGTGAATAGATTTTATATGTGATAATTTAGAATACACTTAAAGCACCACATTATAAGGCCAAGTTTACTGCCTAATCAAATGATAATCCTATACCTTAAATCAAACGATTTATATTTTATAACTTATTGAGCGTGCGTTTGTGTATCGGTAGTGATATTAGAATAATCCATTGCACCGCCAAATCAGCATCCACAATGTATGGTTCCTGACCGTTTCTCTAGTCCAGGATAGTGGTGGGAATAAATTAAAAGAAGAAAGCTTCTTCAAGAAAATTAGATTTGGCTACTGATTTTTCAATTGTGGCATTCCCTTCGATTTAAATCAGCCATATAAAGAAATACGGGCAAGATATACTTACTACCAAAAAAGTTTACCACTTTTACAACCAATTTAATCACGGTTGATTTTTGTCAATCTAACAATTATAATTTATTAGATTTATTAAAAATTAATAATTATTTGATAAATACGACCCAATAATTTTCAACAAATTATAACCGTTAGATTAACGAAATCAATGATGATTAAGTTGATTGTAAATGTGGTAAACTTTTTTATGGAAAGTATATCATTTCTTAAGAAATATATATGATAAAAATGTTCGAAAGAGAATCAACTCTCTTTTTAAAAAAAAAAAAACAAGTTAGGGCCCAGGCCCACAAATTAAAAACAACTTCAGCTACAGCACTTTGAATCAATTTGTGATAGATTTCCATTTCACTCCCCAAAAATACTCATAAAAAATAATATTCTTAAGTGCACTCTAAGGTTATTTATTGAAAATTATTAAGAGAAAAGTATAAAAATCCCCTTATGGTTTCCCTTTAAATCACTTAACCACTTATTTTTTTTTTATCACTTACCCCCTATGATTTTTTTCCATATAAGTCAATTCTTAACACCATTAAAAATTTAATTAATGTGTCTATTTTATCCTTCTTAAGAAAATACTTCAGCTACTTTGTATACCATCTTGCAACGTGACCCTGAAAAATCACTCTTGGTGTCGCCGCTATAGATATCAATTCTGTCCTTGGTGTCTCATCTATTAGATAAGTCCAACAAATAACCTGATCTTGAAAAATCAAAATTTGTAAATAGCATATTAGTTGTGCAAAACTAGTAACTGTATTGAAATTCCATTAAGCATTTTGTTTCTTTCATGCATGCACTTAAATCTTCAATACATGTACATCTTTTTAATATTAAATATGATGTCCAGAATCGTTAGTATAAGTCCAGAGTCGTTCTTAGTTTCTTATTAAATCGCTTAGGAAAAATCCTTAATGTCAAAGAAATATGATTTATTAACAAAAACGTCTAAGAAAAAAAGAAAAAAAACGTCTAAGAAAACAAAATGCTTTTATAACCAGAATTTACCGCTACATGATCAATCCATAATAACCATAAATATTCACGATTGTCAAAATCTACTTTTATAACAGTATACCACAAGGACTGCCAACAACCCCAAACCCATTTCACCATTTTATCCCAAACCGTACATCTGCTCATTGAAACCCAAAGCCTAAAAGAAAAAAACATAAACAAAACCAATTCAACCACACCTAAGACTTGTTATAGGTTAATTACCGTGTAAGATATGTTTAACGTTGGTATATAAATTAAATAAGTCAGGATTAATTCAAGAATGGTGAGGGTAACTACCCTAATTTACTCCTCCTGATGCAAGACATCCATAACCTGGTTAATTAAGTAGATTTTCAAGTTTTTAGAGAGATATGATTCCAAACTCGCCGCTCCATCTCCCTGGGAGAAAAAGTTATTATTGCACCATCTCAAATGAGTCATTTTCCCCTTTCTTTATGAGGGAAAAAGGAAAAGTTTAACAATATCAGTGCTACTTTTTCTTGTCAAAAGCAGCTATATTCTGCGGCTCACATTCAGGACTAAATAAACGAACCAGCAAAGCCGTGCTTGAGCTTGTAGTCACAGAACCACATGCTGCCCAACGAAGACTCCTAGGAACTGTAATTCGAGGACCTGCATGACCAATAAAGCAAAAATTTGATGAATAGTTATGAAAAGACTGAGATTGTAAAAACGAGCTTTTATAAAAATAAATACATAAATGATAAAAAAAAAATGGAAAAGAGAGAGAGTAAAATGTAAAGATAAGCTCATTACAACTTACAAGTGAAAGTAGTAAAAGTACAAAAGCATGAATTACATTGTTATCCTATTTTTGACATAAAGAAGAGATATGGATTAAGGGGAAGGGCAAAATGCTATTTAAAACCTCAGAAAATCATTGAGAGTGAAACTTATCATATGAGAAACACGTATAAAAGTTTTGTTCCAATAAGAAACAAGCTAAATGATTGTCAACTTTTCTTCCTCATTCTTCATTGAAAGAATAAATCGATTAATTGAAGCTGCTGCTAATCTCCAGGAGTTCATCACCTGGCAATTAGGAAGAAGAAAAGAGTAATGGCTACTCTATCGGTTCAATTGCAGTGAATCGAAGAACAGTAAATGCAGGCTTCATAACCCTAAAGACCAGACCAGAAAGTTGCAATAGTCATGTTGGCTCACAGTTGATGATGACATGGCAAATTTTTTTTTATAAATGCTGTATTTGCTTTAATCATCATCCGCAGGAAAGCAATGTTATCAACAATGAAGTGACAATGTTAGGTTTGAATAATTGACAATGAGGCCCAAGAATAAGCAAAGGCTCAAAAAGTTGTGACCACATACTAACAATAATAACACAAAACACGTAAAGCATCAACAGAATACACATTAGTAGAGGTATCAGAGAGCAGAGGTTAAAAACAAAAAGACAAATATATATTGGCTTTAATGTTTCTACAGGAAATGTAGATAAGTTATCTACATTCGCTCCCAAAACGACGTCTTTGGGTTGAAAAATTAAAAAATTATAATGAAAAAGACTATTATAACCCTGAAATAAATTATAATTACAAAAATACCTTGATTTCTACCTCAAAACAACGTCGTTCTGGGCTCAATATAGATAAGTTATCTACATTGACCGCAGAAAAAGTGAACCCTATATATATATTATAACTGAACATTGAAAAAAGTTGCAGCTGACAGACATACATATAGAACAAGAAGGAAGCAAGGGGGGAAAAAGTAGAACAAACCATAGTGCAATCTGCAAAGGACCCAAAATCCTAATGCTCCACCAACGCTATAGATTCCAGCAGTGTGTCTCATTAGCCTAGAACAAGGTTTGCAATCAGACCTCATGAGCTCGCCCTCAGAATAGCCTAAGAAATGCCTCAGCGACATCGTATTAGTTACCTAACACAATTACAAGTTATTGTCAACATTCTCGGTGGTTAACAATTAACACCTTAGCATGCCGTAGAAAATAAAGGTTGTTCACTTGAATGTCTCTAATTTACATCTTTCAGGAGTAAACCGGCGTCAATAACAGTAAGTACATCACAGACTCACATTACATCAACGTGCTTGTGAATGCAATGCAAGTAAGCAAACATAAAAGACCATGACGATAAATGGGACATTTCCTCGAACAGTTAGAAGGCACGTAAGAAATGGCAATAATAAACACCTAAAACAGGTTTATGGAAAAGGAAAATCAAGCAGAACGTAATAAGGAATCGTAGCAAGCGCAGAAAACAGTAAAGTTGATACCTCGTTGGCTCGTAGGATGTGATCAACTGAATGGAAGGAACAAAATATCTCCAGATGTTGTCGATGTCGCGAGTTACGGGAAACTAAACTACTTGAGGAAATGCGATGTCGTTGCATTGGGTTGGAAACACTGAAACATGGTCTTATTGGGCCAGTTAAGGAAAGGGAAGCCCATTATTGGGCCCGATAAGAAAATATCGTTCCCATTAAACTAGTTGGTATTCCGTAGGTCACGGAGAAAGTACAGCTAATTTTTCTTACAACATTTATATTTCTAAGCTCGAGAAAGCTTGGGCTTATATGTCTAAAATTAGTTATTGAAATTAAACTTGAATTTGTATAAAAGCTCATATAATAAAAAGATCTCTGCCTTCAATTCAAAAAGTTCGGCCTTGAAGCCTCTCGGGCTGGCCTAGTATATTAATTTTTATTTTTATTTTATATTTTTTATACTACTTGTAATAACCCTCTCTCTCCTCAATCCATTTCATCTCATTTTATTGGTTAAACTAGTATATTAATTTTTATTTTTATTTTATATTTTTTATACTACTTGTAATAATCCTTTCTTTCTCCTCAATCCATTTCATCTCATTTTATTGGTTAAACAGACTTTTTGAATGATTTAGTTCTATATTATGCTGTTTGGATATACATTGAATTTATGAATATTTATGGAATTACTAATGTTGTTGATTGTATATTTTATTTGGATAAAATTTTGTTGTCTTATTTTTTAAAACAGGCTAAACAAAGCTTTTACTTTTTGAAAATAAACCAGGCCCAATAATTATATTAATAACAGGGTCAGACTGACACATTTAAACACAGACTTAGCCTTTTAATACTAAAGTTTGGCTCGGCTCGACCCGTTAACACCCCTACTAATAACCAACTATTACAGTTACATGGATGGCTGCTAGCCTCCTACGCTCCTGTCAACATTTCTATTGTTTATTTTTGGAACTTCCTAAAACTACTAAACGGGGTATCTATTAACTATATGTTTATTAAAAAATATTTAGTTATAGTTATATGGTTATTTTGAGGAGCATCCTCTCCTCGAATAACTCCTAAAATTAAAGGAAAAACGGTTTAGCATTAGAGGTGTGCATGGGGGTTGGATTTTTTGTGCTAGCTCTCCCATTTTTTTTTTTTCATTTTTCATTTGTAAAAACTTAATTCCAAAACTTATTTAAATAAAATTAAGCATGTATTATTTGAACCAACCCTTACTAATATCAAAGTAGTTGAAAAAGCATATTCCCAATCTTTATTAACATATTATAACAGTAGTCAAATATCTAGGTTTTAGATAATACTGATTCACTTTCATGAAAGCCCGTATTGTAATATTACAAAAAAAAAAAAAAAACTCGAAGCCAACCCTAGTTCAATAAAAAGAGAAAAATATTTATCATTTTAAAGAATATAAATTTATGTTATTTTAATATATATTTAATAATTTTAAAGAACATAAATTTATGTTATTTTAATATATATTTAATAATTTTTTATATTCTTTCATTTATAAAATTAGGAAGAGAGAAAAAAAGATATTATGTAGGAGAGAAGGTAAAAATCCATTAAAATACTTTGTTTCAATCTTTTAGACATAAAATTACGTCATTTAAAATGATAAATTTTTTTTCCTAAATTAAAATATTTGGTATCTTAATATTTTAAAATTAAAGATTTTCCGGAGAGTAGAATAAAAAAATTAGTTACGTTCTTAGTGTGCTAAATACTTTATTTTTACTTAAGATTTATCTTAGGGGCTGTTTGGTAGAAGGATTCTTTTCGGATGATTGGAAAAGTGAGGGTGGGTATCCAAAAATATTAGGTTTGATAGCACTTTTTAAAAATAATTTCTGGAAATTAGTTACGTTCTTTAGTGTGCTAAATACTTTATTTTTACTTAAGATTTTTCTTAGGAGCTGTTTGGTAGAAGGATTCTTTTCGGATGATTGGAAAAGTGAGGGTGGGTATTAGGGGTGTTAACGGGCCGAGCCGAGCCAAATTTTGGTCTTAAAAGGCTAAGTCTGTGTTTAAATGTGACACCCTGACCAAGCTTGTTACCTGTTATAAATATAATTTCAGCCTGTGGCCTGTCTTATTTACAAAAAAACAAAAGCCTGATTTAGCCTGTTTAAAACAAAATAAGACAACAAAAATTTATTCAAACAAAATATACAGTCAACGACACTAGTAATTTCAAAAATATTCATAAATTTAATGTATATCAAACAACATAATATAAAACAAAATCATTCAAAAAGTCTGTTTAATTAATAAAATGGGATGAAATAGATTGAGAAGAGAGAGAAGGCTATCACAAGTAGCATAAAAAATATAAAATAAAAATAAAAAATAATATATTAGGCTAGCCTGAGAGGCTCTAAGACCGAGCTTTTAAATTGGAGCCTGAGACCTTTTTATTAAACGAGCTTTTATACAAGTCCAAGTCTGGTTCTAACAATCAATTTTAGACATAAAATCTCAGGCCTTCACGAGCCGAGCCAAAGGCCCCTGACTCGTTTAGCACCCCTAGTGGGTATCCAAAAATATTAGGTTTGGTAGCACTTTTTAAAATTAATTCCCGGAAAAGTGATTTTCTTGAAAATTCATTTTTTGTATATTTTCTAATTCAAAATATCATCCCAAAATACAATGGAAATTTTTGGAATTGTATGATAGAGACCCATGGTGAGAGTGCCCAAGGCTTTATAAATCTTATTTACTTGATGTAAAATCTCAGGCCTTCACGAGCCGAGCCAAAGACCCCTGACTCGTTTAGCACCCCTAGTGGGTATCCAAAAATATTAGGTTTGGTAGCACTTTTTAAAATTAATTCCCGGAAAAGTGATTTTCTTGAAAATTCATTTTTTGTATATTTTGTAATTCAAAATATCATCCCAAAATACAATGGAAATTTTTGGAATTGTATGATAGAGACCCGTGGTGATAGTGCCCAAGGCTTTATAAATCTTATTTACTTGATGTATTTGATCCACTTAGCTCATTCATGGTGATCCTCCGGCCACAAGCTTCCCCCTAGACTCGCCTGCTAAAAATGAGAGTGTTCAAGGTCTTATAAATTCTATACTAATTGCCCATACAATCAATGTGACACTCCTAACATTGTAGTTCAGTGGGCAAATGTTGTTTTCTTTCATATTTTTTTAAGGAGTCAATTGTATAATAGTATTTGATGAAATTAGTCGGATGGTTTTTTGTATGAAAAAAATTACAACGGCCCTTGTAATTTAGCAAGAGTATTGTTTATCTGCAGCTGGGGAAGGAAACATCTTTCTGGATGTTGCATATGGAACTGCATAAATGTGGAAACCTGCTCCATTGACTTCTTGCTATCTGTGTTGAGACAACATGAATTTTGACCTGTACTAAAATTGAGTGTAAAGGAAGAGGAATGAGACTCATTTACTTATCTTTAATCAAAATGGATTGTATTTTTAGATGATAAGGAATAAGGATCCGTTTTGAGCTCTTTGAGTCCCGGATGCTGTGTTAGTATTATTAAAATTTGAAATCTTTTTTTGAAGGGGTTGGCACTTTCGAGTGTTGTGCTTGTAGATTTGAGAGTAACAAATGATAGAGCTTTTATGAAGAGGGAGTAATTGCAATTGATTGTGGTAGTTGAGAAGTTGAGTTGAATTGGGAAAGAAGAGAGGTGGATATGACTGCTAAACTCCTACATTCTTTAGCAGATGATAACCCACATTTACAGAAGCAAATAGGATGCATGACTGGGATTTTTCAACTCTTTGATTGTAATCATATTGTTACGTAAACCCACTTTTGTTTTTTTATTTATAATGGTGTTTTAAAAGTCAGAATTGATGGAGGTTAGTTTCGTAAATTCATCATATATTTTCATTTTATAAAAATATTTTATCATCAATCAAATATAGATTTAAAAAACTTAAAAAAAATATTTTCATTAATATTTTGACTTATCAAATAATTTTTTGATAACATTTCTGAAAAATTTATTTTCTCATAATATTTCCGAGAATCATAGATAATTTTTTTTTCTCTTATTAATTTATTAGCGGTCTCTTCAGAACACTTATAATCTAACTCAAACCCAACCCAGATCCGAGCTTTTAGATGTTTTCGTACGCCTAGTCATTTGTCAAACTTTCACACTAGGGGTGTAAATGGGCCAGGCTGGCCCAGCCCAGCCTACGGCCCAGCCTACATTAAGCCCAGCCTTTCAGAAAAGTAGAGTAGGCTTAGGCTTATAAAAAGGCTTTTTTAATAAATAGGCCATAGGACAATTTTGTCAAGCCTGGCCTACGGCCTTGTAGGCTGGCCTATTTAATTTATTAAAATAAAATAATAATAATATTTATTTTATGTGACAAAGACACAAAGTACCAAATACCAATATCTCTTACTTTTTGTGCTATTTTATTTTACGAAAGGAAAACTTGTCTAATGTCTCCAAATTTTACATGCTGTTGCAGCTTAATACCATGGAGCAATGGGTACCTTGCTGGATTATGATGTTACTGATGAAGATCTTTCAATAATGCTCTTCTTTCCCTTGTCTTGATGGTGGTTTAAAGATTTTTAGATGAATGACATTCTCTTGTAGACTTTGTTTCAGCATCCAGTAATTGTATTTTTTTTATTTTTCCCATTTCTTTGACTCTATTCCTCTATGATATACATTCTAGAGCTGAGGTATTATGTTGACTCTTTCTTGTTTGTCATTTTTTTCTTATGAGAAGTACTAGTGCATGCATGAATGAAACTTTATTTGCTCTATACAATTATTTTTTTTTGCTTAGTATATATAGTGGGAGGCCTACAAGGCCTGTAGGCCATGTCAGGCTTTCTTATTTTTGAAAATGGGCCGGGCTTGGCCTACAAATAAAGCCTTTAATAGGCCAGTAGGCCAGATAGACTGAATTTTTTTTGACGTAGGCTTGGGCCAGAATGGCCAAAACCCAGCCCAGCCCAGCCTATTTACACCCCTATTTCACACCCACTAAACTAAAGTATATTGCACGAACTTGAGAAGAGCGTGGATATCTAAGAATAAGATAAACCTGTATAAAAAAAAAATGGAAAAGTTAAGCAATGTCCCTGCGGCTTACTTCAGAATCATTTATATTCCTGTGATTTTTTTTCTATCACAACTTTGTGCTTTGTAAAAATTAAGAAACCACAGGTATATATGTGATAAAAAACATACCATTTTACAAACCACAGAAGCATATGTGATAAGAAAAATACCGCAGAAAGATAAGTGATTACTAAGTAAACCATTTTCCCAAAAAAAAATGAATAAGATAAACCATATCCTCGATTTTGTCATCGCAGATATTTTTATAACAATTAATATTTAATGTAAATATATTTATTTATAAATGTTCTACTGTTCTTAGACGACTTTCCTACATTTGTGGGTTCGTGTTATTACCTTCAACTGAACTCTCTGCTGTAATCCCATTTCAGCTTTGAACCTTACTAGAAAGCTAGGAGCTGCAGGAGCATCTGCGGTAGCTTAAAGCTAAGAAAGGTTTGTTTTTTTTTTTTTAATTTATAATCTCTGATCATATATGACCAAACAAAAAAAGAGAAAAAGAGAAAAACTTTAATTATGTAATCATCATAGTGAGTTCAGGCCAGTTGATTTATCTCCATCCATATATTATCTTCAGATTTCCACTGGTTTTGACCTGTCTTCAAGTTATTTGTGTAAACAAGTTTCATCTCCTATTTGGCCTTTTTGTTTTTTCTTTTGAAGCATCTATTCGAATATTCCACATATGGATATCAGGAATCTGTATGATATTGTTACAGTAAAAAAAAAAAAGGAAATATTTTTCTCTGTTTGTTTTCCATGAGCTTTATATTTATGGGTTGAATAAATAAGCTGAAAATAAATAGTGAAAAGATGAAGAAGACAAAAGGGTACAAGCCTGCAGTGCTGCTCACACAAGATTCCACTTATAAGAAGTGATTCCGGATGCATTCTAATAATCTCATTAATAACTTTGGTATGAAGTTTGTAAATAAAGATCGTACTTTGACCAAATCTGAAAAAGGTAAATCTGTGGTTCTGTTAATGTGGATAATAATAGGCTATTTGACTGTCCATTTCCTTACCTGTTTCATGGTTGCTGCTTTTTATGTAAAATTGGGACTATACCCAGCTCTTCTTACTTTCATATTACCCTGTCTCTCAGATTATCCCTGAGTCCTGACTATGGGGCACAAGTATTTGTGCTTGGCTTTCTGCTTGTGGGCTTTAACATGCTCACTTCTTCCTCCTTTCTCCTCTGGACTTATGAGAATTGGTTTGAAGAAGAGAACTCTAGATCTTCATAGTATCAAAGCTGCTAGAATGGTAAGAGAAAAGCTAAGATTAGGCAGACCTGTGTTGGGTTCATATGATCAGTATACTGGTAAGCCAACCGATGATGGCATAGTACCTTTGAAGAATTATTTGGATGCACAATATTATGGAGAGATTGGAATTGGCACACCTCCACAGAACTTTAATGTTATATTTGATACTGGTAGTTCCAACCTCTGGGTTCCATCATCAAAGTGCTATTTTTCTGTGAGTTTAACTTAACTCCTATGTCTTCACAAGTATGTACATAACTACATATCAGCGTTCCCTATTGACTAATGTTCTCTTACAGCTGGCCTGCTATACCCATAATTGGTTCAAGTCAAAGAAGTCCAAAACATATGCCAAAAATGGTAATGCCCACTTCTCACTATTCATATTCATTATAGTGGTGAAAATACGTTGTACTTATGCCATATACATGCCATTTAATATGTTTAAATTATCCTTTCTACTTGTCAATCAGGAACACATTGTAAAATAACATATGGATCTGGAGCAATATCTGGTTTTTTCAGTCAAGATAATGTCAAAGTTGGTAATGTTGTTGTCAAGAATCAGGTGAGTGCTTCTTTATACATGATCTCCCACACCAAGATAGACTATACTTTTTTGCAGCAATACCTAGGTGTTTGGTGAGCGGACATATAGAATGGAACAGTTCTGTTCTGTTCTGTTTTCTTTGATTCCATCCTTTAAGTAAAATCAAAGTGTAGCACACTAGTAACCTTATGTCTAGTTCTGTTATATTTTTAAAATGCAACAAACTTGAAATAGAACCCATATGTTATGTTTTGTCCCGTTCTAATATGTTTACCAATCTCTTTCTACATTAAGAGACTTCGCTGTTATATTAACCTTTTATGTAGGATTTCATCGAGGCAACCCGAGAAGGAAGTCTTTCCTTTGTGTTAGCCAAGTTTGATGGATTACTTGGGCTTGGGTTTCAGGAGATCTCAGTTGAAAATGCTGTGCCAGTATGGTATGTTTCAGCCTTCCTTTGTTATTTCATTTGCATCTAATGTCCATGTTGGAATGGAGTATGGTGAATCTTTTATGTCCTTTAATTTACTTATCCATTATAAATCACAGGTACAATATGGTGGAGCAGGATCTTGTAAGTGAGAAGGCGTTTTCTTTTTGGCTCAATGGGGATCCAAAAGCAAAAAATGGCGGTGAACTAGTTTTTGGAGGTTCTGATCCAAAGCACTTCAAAGGAAGCCATACTTATGTTCCTGTTACTAAAAAAGGTTACTGGCAGGTTAGCAAAACAATGTTAGTTTGATCAGGAATTCTTTTTAAATGTACAGTTTTTTGTAGAAAAGCTTAACATGAATATTTTCATTTTCAGATTGAAATGGGAGATTTTTTCATTGGAGGTTTCTCTACAGGTAACTTCTTTGTTCTTAAACAATGTTGTTTATCTCATAAATACCGATAATCAAATAATCTCACTCCCAAAATACCGAGTTATTGGCCGTCAATAGATCGAACCTCACCCGTTGGTAAATCAAAGAATGAAAACTATTTGATTACCTATTTATAATAAACTCAGGATTAAGAACAATCCCATAACTATAGTTAACTGGAGATTTGATACCTTATGACAGAAAAACAACCTTAATCAAATCTCTCCTTGATCCTTTCAATGTGAATGTTAATTCACACCAATATTTTACAATGATTCGGACAACCTTTATGTTTGTAAATAGTGCGCAAAATAAATAAATAAAACCTTATTTATGAAATTCAGAAAATGATTTTATTGTTTCATCGTCTTATTCCAAGAGCACAATAAAACCAATAACTCCCACTTGCTTAATGCAAGTCTGGGATCCTCCTAAGACCCAAAGAAGTAACATGCCTCTCGAACACAAGTTCAGGCAAACTCTTAGTAACTGGGTCTGCAAGATCCACCTCTAATGCTATCTGAGTTTAGTGAAAAACTCATAGCTCGAGGTTGATTTTCTTGAGTCAATATCCACTTGAAATAACTGAATTTTTGAAAACTCAGCTTTTCAAGACTCCCACTAGAATATACCAGCATATAATCTCTCGTTCTCCAAAGATACTTGAGTACATGCTTAACAATAATCTAGTATTCCTCTAGGTTCAAAATGGTACTATCTCACTACTCCCACTACGTGACAGATGTCTGGTTTAACGCCCAACATGATATGCGTGAGTCTACCTTTGCCAAAGCATAAGATATCTTGCTCATGCATTCTTCCTTCTTAGAAGTCTTTGGTCACTCCTTAGGAAGATGAATTCCACATCTGAGAATTATAATTCTTCTCTTAGAATTCTCATGTTGAATTTTGGGTTTTGTCAATGTAAGTAGCCTGAGGTGATGCCAACAACTTATTCTTCCGGCCTCATAAGAGTTTTATACCAAGAATATAATTGGCTTCCCCAGTACTTCCATACCAAAACACTAACTTAGCCAACTCTTTATGCTTGATATTACCTCCACATTGTTTCTAATAAGGAGCATATCATCTACATAAAGTACCAGAAAAGCTACTGTCTTCCGTTGTATCCTTTACATACAAATACACATCATTCATCAAGGTTCTCTCAAAATCAAAATTTTGATAACCTGATCAAAACTGATGTTTCAAGACCTGGATGCTTGCTTAAGTCTATGAAATAGACTTTCACAACTTGCATACCGTGTGTTCCTACTCATTTGCTATAAACCCTTTTGGTTGTTGTATGTAGATATCCTGACATCCAACTCCCAAAATGAAATCTCATAATTGAGACTTATAGCAACTAAGAGAATCTGGATAGACTCAAGCATGGCGTCTGGCAAAAAATGCCTCCAAGCTAGCTTTGAAGGTTTTCACCTTTCTGTCCATCCTCTCTTTGCCTTTTATGTCCACATGCACCTTGTGGGTTTTACCCCTCTTGGTGTCTTTACTAGGACCGAACGGAGTTGAAATACAAGTATTTCATCTCATTGTTCATAGCCTGAGCAACACTTGATCAACAACATCTTCTAGTGCATTATCGTAACTAGTAGGATCAATGTCACTCAACAAGAAACAACTTGAGAGTTAACAAGGTTCTCTCCCACTACGAATGTACTGCACTAGACCTTGTGTATTTATAGGTAAAACAAAGAGTGGGTCAAATGATGGATCTTCAATTTCTTGAGGATCCGCTTATCCTTGATATTGTTCCTTTACATGTGATACTAATATTTCTACTAGTTTCACTTATATATTATCATGTTGAATTTCCAATCATGGTTCTCTTGTTTGTTCACTTAGAGATATATCTATCCCCTCTTGAACAATCAAGGGAACAGTGGATGAAGCTTCTAGAGATTCTGGAAATTCTTGATCTGAGATAAATCTCATCAAGAATAACCTAACTTAAGAGCTTATAATTTCTTATCTAGTCCTCCTTTAAGAAAATCATGTGAGTGCTCACTTAGATTATCTTGTCCTTAAGACTAAATAAGAAATCATCCCTAGTTCTCTTAGGGTAGCCAAAAGATATGCACTCTTCCATACAAGATTCCATCTCATTTGACTGCTGTTGTAGGACGTGTGCCGTAGCACCCTAAATCCGAATATGGTTTGATCTGGGCTTGCACCCTTTCCATAATTCTTTAGGTGTCTTTACAACAAACTTTGACGGAATCAAGTTAAGAAGGTACATTTCCTTCTCTTAGGCATCTCCCTTGAACAACATTGACAAAGATGAATAACTGAACATGATCTTCACCAAGTCTAGAAATGTTTGATTTTTGCATACTGCAACTTCATTCAACTAACGCGTTCTTAGAGTTGACAGTTACAAAAACTATCCCCTCTTAAATCAGGTAAGACCTGAACTTACCAGACAGGTAGCCAACACTTTAGTCAGACCAAAGTGTTTTTGATTTGAACACCTACATGCTTTTCTGCCTCAGACTAAACCTCTTGGAATTTCCAAAAGCTTTAGACTTATGGCGCACTTGGTTCATCTGTCCAAATCCAGAGTAAACATTCATATAATGAAGTACTCATCACCTCTTCTGGTCTGAACGCTAATTGGTCCACATACATTAGTATGTACCAGTTCCAGTTGAATAGTTGCGCAAACCTTTTTGGCCCTTGTAGGATTGCTTGGCCACTTTACCTTCCAAATAGGACTAACATGTAGCTGTTAGTTAAAAGATTATTGAACTTTCAGTCCCTCTTTTAACTAAAATATGTTTCCTACTTGAGATAATATGACTCAATCACAAAGGCCAAAGTTATGTTTCATTTGAAACTTTTATTTCTTTGGTGAAAGTTCTTGTTCATCATCCTTTCCATTCAACATAACAAATTTAAAAAGGGTATAGGACATAGGTAATAAAGACTATTTAAACAATGTACCAGAACAAAACAAGACGAAGATGAACTTCGAAATGTAACTGAGGAATCAATTGCATTGTCAAACCATGTTTTAACCAAAACAACTAACAAAAATTGAATTCCTCTTGAAATCCGGAACAAATAAACAGTCACTCAAAACCATAGTCGTATAAATAACTTGTCCTACTGCAAATGCAGACACAAGTTTCCATTTTCAAGCTTAAAATATGTATGTCCATTGCTGACAGGTATGCTATATTTGAACTACTACAAAGAGTAACAAACATAATCAGTGATTCCTGAATCAATAATTCATTCACTGATCAGGCCTTGATATGCCCATGTCTGGTTCTTTTCATCACCTCTGGGCAATTTTTCTTTCAGTGTCCCTTTAGTCTGCACTTGAAGAACTTGCCTTGCGGCTTCTTCATAGCAACTGGTTTGACAACTGATAGCCAAGTCATTTTGTGCTTGTTACCACCCTTGGGTTTCCCTTTGGATTTAACAAGACTCTTAGCAAAAACTTGCACCGACTGCATTCTGTCTAGCAGAGCTGCTAGACGCAGCAAACATGTCATTAAGAGTCTGAAGCATTTCTACTCCACTCTTAATCATGTACACTTGTTTCTACAAGTATTTGGAAAGACTGACAATAATATAGCAACGAACTACCATACCTGCTCTTTCCTAATCTGAGAAATGCATCTTAGTTTCCTAAGACGCATCCTCTGCAGGTTGCTATGGCCCTCGCATTGTCAGAACAAATTTTAGCTTCCATGTTTTAGAACAATATCAAAAAATTTGCTTTTCACTTATTCATAGTTGGTACCATCTAGAGGTTTTCGACTCAAAATCATTTCTAAGATATTTTCTGAAAAACATATAAAGCACACAATTACAAACAAATAATGCAATAAACAAACGAAGTGCGAGTAGATTCTCATAACTACTCTTGTTTATTGTTAACAATCCTTCAGTTTATCTTTACAAGGCTTACGATGGGCAAGTCACTTGTAAAAACCAAAATTGTTATTTGGGCCTTCAGTGCCATTGCCAGAGCCTCGATGGGAGGGTTAACAATTTTACCAAAGTTGAATGTAATTAACCATTGTTTAATTTCAAAATTATCCTTAGTGTCTAAGCATTGCCGACGATGGGCCGTACAATACTTTACTAAAATTTTGAAATTATTAAGATTTAATCTAGTGAAATCTGATTATCCTTATCCGATGGGGCTTCAGCGATAACCATTTCACTAATAAACCCACAAATGGAGCCCGCAGGTTTTAAAATTAATTAATTTTTAAAACCTTCACCCATTCAACATTTTTGTTTGAGAATTTTCATAAGCCCAATCGAATTCATTGTTTAATTTCAAAATTATCTTTAATAACTTAGTATTATCGACGATGGGCCGCACAATACTTTATTAAAATTTTAAAATTATTAAGGCTCAATAAAATCCAATCATGCTTATCCGTTGGGACCTCACAAGATTATTTTATTGATAGGCCCACAATGTGCCTGGAGGTTAAATTAATTTCTTAATTTAATTCTCCTCCCATAGATATTTAAGTCCAATCTAATAAAATCCAATCATGCTTATTCGATGGGACTTCACATGATTATTTTATTAATGGTCCTATAATGCGCTTGAAGGTTAAATTAATCTCTTAATTTAAATCTCCTTCCATTCAACATAAGCAACATTTTCTAATTTCTCCAAGAATTATTTAATTGATAGTATCCTTTGTTCGATTTCAAAAACTATATAAGTAAGAGTGCCGATAAACGTGCACTAAGCTTAACATAATTTTGAAAGCATTAAGGTCCTGAAATCCAGTCACTTTACGTCAGCGTGTGCTCCAAACAATCATGATACATGAAGGTTGTATGCAGCGTGTGTTATTCCATGACCATTTCAGAAAACCCACAAATTACTCGCAAAATAAAAAGAATTCTCTTAGGAAATTTTCTCTAATTATTTTTCTAGATTTAAATCATCCAAATAGCTGACTTAATTATTAATCTAGATTGCAACAATCATAATAATTATCATTTATGAGGATAATTTGAAATCAAAATAATTTCCATAACGATTATTTGTCTTGATGTTAATTATCCAAAATTAATTAATTCAATTATTAATCTAGATTTTTAATAAAAATCATAATAATATTCAATTAATTTCTTAGGATGATTTAAAATCAAAATAATCCCATAATAACGATCATACTAGTCGCTGAAGACACAATAGCTATTATGCTCATGCAATCATACAAGTTATGCAACAATATGGCACCGCCTATTCTATATGGCATGTTATCGCAATAAAGCATGTTATCAATCATATAATTTATACCAATCAATAAAAGCATTAAATAATAAATCATAATTACTTTAATCCATGGCCTTCCTATTTTAAAGAAAATAAAATAAAATGTTACAACTTTGGAATTCAACTTTCGCCTAGCCCATAGTATCTGTCTCAAGCCCCTTTAGGGTTTCCATGGGCCCAAAGCCCAAAGACCCAATCCTTTGGCGAGAAACCCTAGGACGCGAAAGAGGAACCCTAGCCGTCAGGTCTGCCGCGCCGTCACCCGAAGTCAAATCAGGTTGAAACTCCAGGGGAAGGACCGCCACGTAGATACGAGTGCACCGCCGCCGGAACCACCCAAAAAGGTGGCCGGACGCTCCCTCACTCTCCAATTATTTGCCGGAGAGTGGCGACCACTCTCAGCCGCTTGTGGAGGCGCGTGGAGGAGCGTTGAGGCTCCTATGGCGGTGATCCACCTACCGTTGCGTTCGTATTTCCGTCCTCTTTCCAACCATATATAGATCGCCCCATTCTGAGATCGTTAAGTCCTCGAAAAGTCTCCGACATTGCTGACTGCGCATCTTCCTCGCGATTTCTTGATCTTGAACTTTTACAAAATATTGAAAAAATACACAGAAATTCCAAAAATAAACAAAAACAGCAAGGAGGAAACCTAATCATATGAGATTAGCCTCCTTGTTACAAATCGAGAAATACACGAGAGACCCTAACCATGGATTAAAGCATTTTTACCGATTAAAATTTAAACTTTTATGAAAATGAATTATAAAATACACATGCTAGATTCATACCATAATCCTAGAACCCTAGGTGCCACATTTCAAGAAGCAAAACTAATTACATGAATAGTGAAACTAGATTCACACACCAATGTACAGCCAAGGCTCTGATACCAATTGAAGGAAATCTTAGATTTATGCGGAAGCGGTTTAGGACCTAGTACATTGGTATGCTTACCGAATCATCCTTGTTTCACAATTACCTCTCGGTGCGCAGGTCTCGTGTAGAATCTTCCCTTGTAGGATTCCTCTTCACGAACAGCTCACCTCAGCGCCGCAGCACGAACAACCTCCTTGAAGTTGGACTGTGGCAGATCTTCCAAACTATCTCTCGAGGAGGAAGGGGAAGTGTGTGGGCACTGATTAGATTCAGAGCTTGCCTCTTTCTCACAAAAAAGACCTTGGAGGCTGATGACTTAAGAGGTACTATTTATATGGGTTCCAATTCCAAGAAACCCTAGCTCATTGGGCTCTAGGTTCCTTGGGCTCTTCTCATACTAATAACCCATTTGGGCTTTAGTAAAAGAGCAAACCCAACACTAATATGCAGAAAATAAATCCCAAGAAACCTCAACTCCCCCTCAAACCAACAGACCTAGGCTCAAGAGTTCCCTAGAGGTCTCCCAATTTCCTCACTAACCAATTCTGAATTTATGCCTGAGTAAACCCCACCCCCAAATCACCCTATATAACAACATCTATCTCCTCTAACTAACTACTATGGACTCCTTTGCATTGCTGGACTTGGGCCCATTTGTCATAGCCCATCAATTGATGGAACCAGAAAAATGACACTGAAATTATAGATGATGGAGGCCATGCCTCTTTTTACATATACTAATATGCAGAAAATAAACCCCAAGAAACCTCAACTCTCCCTCAAACCAATAGACCTAGGCTCAAGAGCTCCTTAGAGATCTCCCAATTTCCTCACTAACCAATTCTGAATTCATGCCTGCGTAAACCCCACCCCTAAATCACCCTATATAACAACATCTATCTCCTATAACTAACTACTATGAGCTTCTTTGCATTGTTGGACTTGGGCCCATTTGTCATAGCCCATCAATACTATCGTAACATTCCACCATGCTCCGCAGCCCCGACGCCCACGAGGGCTGGCTTTGCGCTAGTCTTTTACTAGCCCCAGGCGAACATTGCAATGCCGGCGTCACCACCCGCGCCGCTCGATTGCAACCGGGAGGTATAGTGGAAGGTTCTGATACCATTTGATAGAACTAGAAAAATAACACTAAAATTATAGATGATGGCGGCCATGTCTCTTTTTACATATACTAATATGCAGAAAATAAACCCCAAGAAACCTCAATTCCCCCTCAAACCAACAGACCTAGGCTGAAGAGTTCCCTAGAAGTCTCCCAATTTCCTCACTAACCAATTCTGAATTCATGCCTGAGTAAACCCCACCCCCAAATCACCCTATATAACAACATCTATCTCCTATATCTAACTACTATGGACTCCTTTGCATTGTTGGACTTGGGCCCATTTGTCATAGCCCATAAGAGGGCAATCCTTGTATGCAGTCTTACCCTTACATATTTGCAAATATTTCCGGATTGAAGTGTTTTTTTTGCCTCTCATACTGTTGTCTATTTTAAAGAAATGTGATCTCTCTACAAAGTGTATCTTTATGTCTTTCTGTGTTTTGGTAGCCGTAAGCTTTGATGGTGAAGTGTATCTAATTGCAGAATGTATCAATGTTATTTTTAGGTGTTTGTGAGGGTGGCTGTGCTGCTATTGTGGATTCAGGAACATCTTTGCTTGCTGGTCCAACCGTATGTGCTTACATTTTTTCAAAAATTTCTCACTCGTGAGTTGTGGCTTTTCATGTATACTTTCTATTGACTGATAATTAATTTCAGACTGTTGTGACTGAAATCAACCATGCTATTGGAGCTGAAGGAGTTCTGAGTGTAGAATGTAAGGAAATTGTTGTTGAATTTGGAGAGTTGATATGGGATCTCTTGGTATCAGGGGTAAATTCTCTTGCCCACCTTTAAGTTTTTCTTTTCACCTTAATTTGCCTTACCTTCTCTTTCACCTTATGCATTTTACTCCTTGGACCTAAATGAGTTTGATCTTGATTTGCAGGTACGGCCTGCTGATGTTTGTTCACAAGTTGGTTTATGTTCTGCTAAGCCCAGGGGGGATCAATCTAAGAGGTAGGAAGTTCTCTCTCTCTCTCTCTCTCTCTCTCTCTCTTTAATGACCATTTTTATATATCAATGTTTTGTGTGCCCTTTTCATCATATTTGTTTCATTGCACTTCAATTGGGTAATAATTTGAAGATGTTCGATGGATGCTTGATAATTCTGTTTATGAGCTCGAATGTCAATTTCTAAGTATACAACATGCATGAGTTATCTGGAAATTTCTTTTTCCAGGAACCTCCATTACCAACCAATTACTCAGGGCTTGATACCACCCTTCATTGGTTACAATTTCTAGCATATTTTTTTTTTTTTTTTGCCACCGGAAGAGTTTAGGTCCTATTCTTGCTTATAATGCTATCGAATTTTGACTGAATGAGACTCTTGATTCCTAAATTTACTTTGAATCCTTATGCTATGCAGCAATGGGATTGAGATGGTGACTGAAAAGGAACAGAGAGAGTTGTCAGCCAAAGATACTGCTCTTTGCTCTTCCTGTCAGATGCTTGTGATTTGGATCCAGAATCAACTTAAACAAAAGTCAACCAAGGAAATAGTATTCAACTACATAAATCAGGTAAGCCTATTTCCTTTTGAATCATCCTGTCCAGAAACCTAAGATGATGTTTAGATTTATATCATTATATGTATTAATTTCTTCTCCTTTGATCATTGGCAGCTGTGTGAGAGCTTGCCAAGTCCAAATGGAGAGTCGGTAGTAAACTGTAATAGCATTTCTAAATTGCCAAACATTACATTTACTATTGGAGATAAACCTTTCATCCTCACTCCTGAGCAGGTAAGGTTTTGGAATTTTAATAAATTACTTACAATGTGGCTTTGGTAGATAATTATACTCCTATAAAGAACATTGGGGTCAGGAAGTTTCTGCTTCAATAATTTGTGAATTTTTTGGCTTTTGGGTAGAAATATGGAATCAAAGTTCAAAGAAAAAGTTAAAACTAATAGTTATAACTTTACAAAAGATGTGGGCACATAGTTGAATTGAAGAGCATATTGAACTACAAATTATTGTATTATTATCTATATCCTATTGCTAACTCTTGATTATTTATTTATCTGGGTTCTGAAAATGCTCTGTACTATCAGTATATTTTGAAAACTGGAGAAGGCATTGCAGAAGTCTGCCTTAGTGGGTTTATTGCTTTTGACATTGCTCCTCCACGGGGTCCTCTCTGGTATGTTACTGTCATAACTTTCATCATTTTGTATTTAATATGCATAAACTTGCATAGTACAGAACAACCATGCATAATATGAAATTATGAATTATATCTTATGTTCTAAAAGCTTTGTCGTTCTTTTAATTTTCTGATATTGCTGTCAATATCTACCTGCAGGATTCTTGGCGATATTTTCATGAGGGTATATCACACCGTCTTTGATTATGGGAATCTCCAAATTGGTTTTGCTAAAGCTGCCTAATGAGACTTCTGGGAGATTATGTAGGGAATATTTTAATAAGCTTGTTAGTGTATTGTAAATAAGCTCTCTTGTAACTACTATGGTGCAGGTTTACTTTATGGATTCATATATGTACTCATACGTGAAACTACCCGTCTTGAAGTATTGTATGCTTGAACTTGAAAATGCTGTGTTGTACTGTAGATTATATACCCTTATGTGCTATAAAAATAAGGATGGCAATGAATGACTTAAAATTTCTGATCTATTTATATTCTTTATCCATATGATGATTTGCCAGCGCATATGGTTATTGACATCGTGTGCTAAAGAAACCAGGGAGAGTAAAAGAGCAAAATGGATGTAAATTGGTCCCAGAAAGGTTAAAAATGTGGTTTTTGTGTGAACTTGTGATTATTAAAAATAGTTGCATGCATTGCAATACGTTACGTTTAACATTTGCTTATGGAAAATATTGAATGGTTACAAAAGTGGGAAAAAAAAAACTTCTTGTGTTATTGATTATGATACATGTTACTTGTGCACGTAAATTTGTTTGCATCCTGTGACTATGCTAGCCGACAAATTCAGTTTCCAGCAAGGATCTAGAACAAATATAAGACATTTTTTTGCAATTAAATGTTTCTTTTTTAAGTTTTAATAGTTACATAATTTTATCAGAAAAGTGAACACTAAAAAAAAAAGTTGTCGTAATTTTTAAAAACATGAAGATACTTTTTACCAAAAAGAAGATGAAAATACAAAATACTTGCAAAAAGAGAGAGATGAAAATACTAATTTTGAAAAAAAAAAGAACTTTAGAAAAAGTCATATCATATAAGCACTATTTTAAAAGTTTATTAAGATGAACTTTTTTGTTATACAATTAAGATGAACTTTTTTTGTTGATACAATTAAAATGAACTTTTAATAAAAAAGAATAATATTGATACAATTCCATAACTTTTAAACAAAATTAGTGCAAATAAACATTTGAAACTAAATTAAGATTTTGAGGACTAGAAGAAGATTTTAACTAATTAGTTATCAACCTTATGAATATAACACAGATTGGGTTGGTTTGCTTTCCTGCTCAACCTAAACCCATAGGTTGGCTTGACCCAAAATTTTATTTTAAAAAATTAGATAAGTTCTAATGGTTCAGGCTCAACCAAAAGGCAATCCAATAATAATTTTACATCCTCTAATTCAAAAGCAAATCAACCAATTGGCGGGCAATAATTAATTTGCAAGCTAGTTAAGTTGGGTTGGTTTATGATTAGATTATATTATATCATAACAAATTTTTAATATAATTGATAGTATTATATTTGTCAAGTTGTTTGTAACTTTTTTTTTTTTGGTAGACAAAGTTGTTTGTAACTTAATGCTACTAAACAAGTACAAATTTAAAGAATAAATTACACGTGTTGTTTAAATTTAATATTTATAACAATAATTTTTACTTATTGAACAAATATTTTGTACATATTTCAATCAGTAACTTGATATAGAACCTTACAATTAAATATTTAAAAAAGAATCTTAAATTGAAAAATTAGTGCACAATGAATTTATTGCTTATAATCTTATAAAATATAATAGAGATATTCATATTTATAACTTAATAATTATATGACTTTATTTTGTTTTATTTGATTGTAAATATGTAGATGCATTTTTTTTAACTCTGTATACACATATAGGTCATTATATTTATTTTGACATGTTAAGTGAATTTTTTTAGGACATAAAAATATTTTGCAATTATTATTCTTTATTTTTTTCTAAAATATAATTTCTTAAAATTTTATATACAATCACTTTGGAATTTTTTTTTACCTTTGTCCTCTAACTTATTTTTAGTTTTCAAATTCACCTTTTCATTATTTTTGTTTAAAATTTTAAATTAACACTATTTTTCTGAAGATAGTGCCGTGAATTTAGATGGCAAAAATGTCATTAATGCTACAGAGGGGTTAGGTATATATGACTAATCTATCAGCAATATTAATAGAAGTAGTTTACACGAAAACATTATATTTTATTTAATAACTAAGAGAACTTATGTGAAACATAAAAAAGTTAAGAAATAATTTTGACGAATAAAAAAGTTAGAGAATAAAAGTATATTTGTAATTAATTAATTTCATATAATGTTAATAGTTAATAGTTGATTAATTACTTTTCATTTAATAAAATTTTACAATTGATTTGATAATTAATAATTAATTAAAATGTTGTTAAATATATCGTAAGGTTATATATAATGAATCAGTCACTTTGAACAGGATTAGTTTTAGTTAACCACGTGGATGGGCGTGATGGTTCAGCATCTCGTCCCTTAAGCAAGTGGTTGGGGGTTCGAATCTCAACTCTTGTGAATGGAAAACATTTCGTGGCCAGCTCTTTACCGCTTTATGCGCTGACCTGGGGCGATGGATTAGTCTCATGGCTATCGGCCGTGAGAATACCCGAAAGTAATCCAAAAAAAAAGAAAGATTAGTTTTACTTTTAGTTTTCGGGGTTTGGTTCCTAGTTTAGCTTTTTAAGAGCCAAGCTCTTTTTCCTTTTCATTAATCTATTGGGTCCTTGTTTTTCGATTAATCTTCTTAGGAAAAGTATGTAGCAAACTTTAAAAACAAATAGACGATCCTTTAACATAATTATTATATAACTTATCTTTTAAGATGCGAATATTTGAAAGTAAAATCACAAGATTCGTACAAATTTGATAGTGGATATATATCAGACAGGGAATTACAAAAGCAAAACAATAAATTATAACATTAAAAACAATCTCCTTGTTTTAGGCTTGAAGCCTTGAAACGTTTGGACTAAAAGTAACCAACCATTAGACAATTTAAATGTCCTTTACCACCTTGCTTTGGTGGGTATTGTATTTATTTCAGATTCAAAGTAACCTTTCACTACAACTATTGTTGCAAATTCTAGTTGATTAAGCTGAAACCAAAAAAAATTTAATGATTAGGAAAACATGTTCACACCGAACCACAAGAGTGACAAAGTCTACCTTACCAAATTTTTAACGCAGTTACGTATTCAAATTCAAACTCAAGACCACTGGTTAAGTTGAAATAATTCCATACTAATTGATACACATGCATCCATGCATATTTGGGCAGTCACATAATTTAAAAGGTAGAATTTCATTGTTTTTTTTCTCGATGGTGGAAGATTAAAGAGTAGAGAATGCGACAAGATGTAACAATCCTATAAAAGGTGGAGTCTCAATTATAAGACTCATTGCTTTCACCGAATCCTGCTTTCATTATTGGCTTCTAGAGGATAAGCAACATATATAACTAGACAGCAACTTTGTTCATTATATATAGGGTTTTATTAATCTCCTTCCACATAAGATAGTTATCTTATGTGGTAGAGAGAAAATGGGTGGGTCCCACCATTACAAGAAAAAAGAAAAAGAAGAAAAAAATGGGGTGCGAAAATCGAAGTGAGAGAAAATGAGATAAGTTACCTCATGTAAAAGGAGAGTAATATTTCCCTTATATATATTTATATTGATTCCACCCAACCCAATTCTATTTTGGTGAGACTTACTTTACTAACTATTACTGCCTTAATGTCCTTTTACGGAGAGTGTTTGATTTTATTGTTCTAGAATTATGCAAAGCGTGTGATTTAAGTACCAAACACAAAACTCACGTTATTATTCTGCTAACTTTTAAAGCTTAAATGTGATTACAGCAAGGGAGCATAATCACAATGACTTAAGATAGCAGTTCTAATGCAAAGAAAGAATATAATAGAGGTACGTGTCTTAAGAGTTTACAAGTTGGGTATGCCAAACTCTGGCCCTTACTAATATTTAAATTTAGATATTTTTTTTTTAAGATTCCCTAACTTGACAACTTGCATGCAGTGATAGAAGAAAAGGGAAAGTTTATTTCCATATAACAGCGATACCCTTGTTTGCTGCTTATTTGGGTTAAGTACTCGGCAAGTTAAAAGTTCTAATGGTGGTTAATTTAGTATATATTAAAGTATGAACCTTTTTCCTTAAGTTGGCACCCACTGAGGACTTTCTATGGGAAGAGAATAGCTTGGAAGAAAAGGAGAATCAACTTTTGTTTTGAGAAATTTTAAAAGCCCCTAAACCTTACTCTCTTGTGATGTGCATGAACCAAAATCAATAAAGCTATTCTTGACTACCTTTCTTCGCTCTTCACTCAATTAATTACTCATTAACTTTATTCTTCACACCAAATTACTATATTTTGTTTTGCCATGTTTATAATAACGTAAACAAGTAAGTAACTTAAATAAATGCGTTTCCCTGTTCATTTTATACCGGCACTGCCATTTGTACAACATAAACAGGCTCTTGTGATCTTATTTTATTGCTATAACAATTATACATTATATGCTTCCACATCTAGCTGTGAGAATGTTCTTCTTAGGTTATAATTAAATTTGATGTCTAGTGTAGTCTTGCACTTTAAAAGATTGATCTAGATCTTACCAGATATTTTAGTTCTAGAATTTGTAGGTTAGTTAAAGTTATTATGGTCATAAATCTAGCTCCTTTGATAAATTTAGTTAAAAAGTTGCATTTTCAACAGTTGCCAATAATATCCAACCAGTAAAGGACTGAAGAGAGAAAGAAGGACAATTTGATTACCCTGATTAGTAGAAATCAAATCTATTAGGTATCTGTCTAGTTCAGCATGTACACAAATTCATGCAGAAACAGTAAAATGTTTCTGACAAAAAGTAAATAGTGCCAACAACAACTTGAATCTAAAACTAAAGAGGCAATTGAAAGGTCCAACAAATGTGCATCATTGAGCAAGAAACAGAACCAACACCAACCAAATGACTACTCAAGTCAAGCAACAAATTAAACCAGCGGACCACAGAAAATGTGCCTTCCCCAAAAGTTGAATCATTGTTTACTGTGTTCCATGTGAGATTGTTTGGACCATGAATATTGGACTCACCTGCTGTTTGAATCAGATTCCCTTGTCACACTAAGGCTAACAAAGGAGGTCTAGTACTATATAAATTGAAGTCTGCAAGTTGGAACACAAACAAGACAATTCATTCAATTCCTTCCTTGTCACACTAAGGCTAATATTCTCATTAGCCAAATAGTGTTTTCAATAGCCAAGAGTCATTCATGGGAGGCAACAGGCAAAGGAAGTCTTCCTCTTTCAGGTCTGTTTTCAACATTTTCAAATCTAACAATAGGCAAAGAGGAGGAGGAGGAGGAGGAGGA